AAATAAAATTTTTGATTTAAAGACACTATGATGACACCAGGCAAATCTTCCAAGACACCTATCGTCGGGAATCTAACAACCCTACAATAACATCAAATTTTATTTTTATATAAATGGATACCCCACAAGCTCAAAATTTACCACAAATCATAATAAGGGAGGAAATGATAAAAATGATGCAAGAACAAATTAAAAACAACAAACCACAAAAACCGAGAAGATGAGGAATAAAAATTAAATTTGGATTGAGTTTAAATATTCATCTTTATTAAATTCATCTCTTCTAATCAATTTATTTATTCTATTAAATTCTTTTATTTTTGCTTCACTCAGTTTAAGGATTGAACGGTAAGTTTTTAATTTTTCGATTATTTCTTTCCTCTCTTGATCATTTTCAACCCCACCACATTGCGGCTTCTTTTTATAATAGCATATTTTTGATTTAATTCTGTTTAGTTTCTTTTTATATTCATCGTCCGGACTCTTGGTTGCTTCGTTGTCACTCATTTCTTACGAAATAAAAAAAATTAAATATTATTTAAATATAATGGAGTAATAAAATAAATCGGAATTTCTATTAATTGATTGTTAACCTCAACTAATGCATTACCGTTAATATATCTAACAAATTCAGCTATTGTGTCAAATCTTCGTCTTCTTTTTGTCATTGATTTATCAGTTTTTCCATAATCGAGATGAATCAAAACTTTATCCCCTTGTTTAAAATTCATGAGCCCCGAATTAATTTGTTCACGTTTAACATCATTTAACCTTTCCATTTGCTTTCTAATATATTCCCATTCTTTTGAAATATCATTTTTCATTTCCACTGGTTTCATGTTTATAGTTCTATGCCATGTATTATTGTAATAATATACTAACTGCTGTATGATGGAGTCATGATTTCCATCCCAGTATATCTGACCGTTAACCCCTAACGCATCTCTAAGAGTTCTCATTACCGCATCAACTATTTTATTATGAAACGTATATGGAGAGGATGAAAAGTAAAAATTAATTTGTGGGAAATAATGAGCCATAGCTGCCTGAAATCCTTTATCACCATCACCCCTGATATTATCTACTCTTTCATGATCTAGTAAGTATTGAATAGCTCTTCTTGTTTCCTGTTCTGTTTTCCCTTTCACCGGAATGCAATATAAATATCTGGTGTTAATGTTAATGGCGAATAAATAAGTAACGTTCCTTTTGAATATTCTAAATGATCGATTTCGTATGAATATGGATGTGGGCAAATGAGGGCGACTAAATTTTTCCTTTAACGGTTGAATTTTTGGGTCAATTGGTTTATTTAATATCTTGAAATCCTTTTTAAAATCTTTTTGCTTCTTAAATGTTTGAAATGGATATAATAAAGTGAATGATGAAGGATTAACTGAAGGAGGAGGAGTACTACTGTTGGAGGTTTTGGTGTTGCAAGTGGTTTAATTTTATCTGCTTTGATTTTGGATTTCATTCCTCCTTTCATTAATTCTGGATGTATTTTATTCATTTGTTTTAAATATACTGTATATAAAGGTTTGATATACTTTCCTGCTTCGAGTTTATGTTGAAGGATGAATTCCAAAAGTTGATCTTCATTTAAAAGTCGGGCTGAGTGTGGTTTAACTAATGAATCATAAATTAAAGCTTGTGCTTCATTTATGGTCTGAATGACCTGGGCGTTTTGCACCCTTGTTTTTTGCGGCTCGGGATTATATAAATTATATAATTCATCAATATCTTCTTCTGTTAATACTTTATTTTTGAAATCTTTCAATTGTTTAAGTTGTGATTTAGTTTTTCCCTTTATATATTCATTATTTTTAATTTTGTCTTTAATTTTAGAAATTATTTTATCATGATATTTCAAAATTTCATTTTTATAATATGGATAATAATATTCCATATCATCACCCGTTATATTTTCATCATATTTTTGGAGATATGCTTTTAATTCATAATAATTAAGAAAATTTTGATTAAGTACTAAATCATCAATTAAAATTTTTAAATCTACATTATCCATTTATATAAAAATAAAATAAGTGTTTTAAGGGTGCTCACCTCTTTGATCAAGAATCAAAACCATTATTAACGGTTCCTTTTGTCTCTTCTGTAGCATTTTATTAAAAATAAAATTTTAAATTCATGACTCAACCCCTACGTTTTTAAATTGTATTAAATAAATGGCATACAACATCCATTTTCACAACATACAGCCTTAGTGTGTGCTCCTGTTAATGCAGTCTTACCGATTGTTAAGCGAGTCATTGACCCGTTTTTAAGTTGTAAATTAATATTCTGACCATCAAATATCACTTTATCATTTATTATATCCAAATAATTTTTAGGTGTTAATTGTTTATTTTGTCGTAAACTAACACCTTTCATTTTTTGTGCAATCTTTTTAAAATCACTTCCACCCATTGAACCGTTGAATGATGTATAACACTTGGGGCATAAAGCAACCATGTTATCACCTTGTTTCTCAATTGCTAAACCCAATAACTTCTTCTCATGTGCTTTTTCTTCAGCTTTATTCTTTAATTTAGGTTTAAATTTCTCATCAAAACAGAAGAAATCAAATGGTGCGAATTTGAAAATGTTTTTATCATAAAATTTTTTATCGGTTACAATCGCCTGAAATGCTTGAGTGTTAGGAAGATTTGGATCGCCAGCGATTGCCTAATAAGATGAATCAGTATCACCTTCAATGAAATGAAAACGATTAACATTCATGCATTTATACATAAAATCATAAATGAAAACCAAATACCAGTATTTAGCATTATCTAAAGTAAAAAATGCCTCTTGTAAACATGTATCACATCTATAAAATCTATCTTTAAGCATCAGTTGATACGTATCCTCTCCTATTTCCCTTATGTTTTTAAACTTATTTGGCATACATGCAACGCGTGCCTTCTGTGCATTCATTATTTTAGTCTTTGTGTAATTTTGTGTATTCATTGCATCGTAACCATATGATCCATTAAGCGAAATCTTGCAAAATAAACTTTTTCCTTTATTTCCTTCTAATTCAGCCTTTTGTCTTTCGTTCATAAATTCGTTCGCAAATTCATTAAAACAAGTGTTTTTAGTAAATGTTAAAATTGATTGAATATCATCGATGATAAAATGAAATCTGTCTATTAGATACCAAAGATAATAAGAAGAAAATGGTTGATATTGGTTGTGTGTTGATGCTAACTGAGTTAATTTTCTCTGTTTCTGGTCAACCGGTAGATTGTTTGATTTCATGTAATTATACATAAAACTACCAATTGTTTTTTCATCTGTGATAATATCTAAGTTTCTTATTATCGGTAAAAAGTTTATGTAATCATTAATGTATTTTTCATCAATGTGACCCTTTACTTCAGCCACGAATAAAGTATTTTCTTCTTAATTATTCCCACTGCTTTTGCTTTCTTTGTTGCTGTATCACAAATGATAACACCATTCAATCTTCCCGGCATATACATTTTATGGTCAGTATATTGAATGAAATCATGAGGATTAGATGAAAATGATGAAGGATATAATGAATTAAAATCAACACCAACGAAATGAGTCATGATGTTGGAAGTGTCCTCATTTGATACAGTTTTAGTTTCTGGATTATATGCAAGTTTATTAATGTGCGTGATTCCTTTAAGATTAACACGATGTTGAACATTTGATAGACCACCAGTAATTCCATTACGGAGAATGTGATAAGCTTCAACTGAATCTAAAGTCATTGGTAAATTATTTTAATGCATAATTTCTTAAATTGATTCTTAAACGTTGAACATCTTCATCTTTATTTGATTTTACGACATTGCAATAACAACACATTAACTGACAATTTTCTTTGGTATGTGGTTTTTCATTATCGATTCTATCCAATGTTGGTTTATTTGCATATGTAAACGCTTTACCACACATTTTGCATTTAGATGAAAGGATTAAATCGTGATAGTATTGAAAATCATCCATTGAAACATTATTTTTAGTTTCTCTTTCTGCTTTTTCATCTTGTTTCTTATATGATTCAATTTTATATTTCCAATACTTTTTCGTTAATTCAAAACTTGATTCTATCTCTTCCTCAGGATATTTTTCATTAGGATTAAAGTCTTTATATGCTAAAGCGTAACGAATCATTGAAGCATTCGATGATAAAGAAAGATTATGAAGCATGTCAATTTTATATACAAATGTTTCTTCAATAATTTTATCAATTGGGTCAATCATAATTTCAACATCTTTATTGCAATAATGAATAAAATATTCTAATCTATTCTTAAAATTTTTAGCATCATTGAGATATATTTGATAATCACTATCTGATATAGTTTCTTGAGTTAATGTTGAATAAAATGAATCTTTCGTGAATGGTTCCTCGTTATATAATTCTTCTTCGTAATTCTCCCATGTGATAAATTGATAAGGGAAAAAGGATTTAACACGTGATTTATTGTTTCCGAAATCTTGAGTGAATTGGTCTAATGTCCCACCCACTATATAATTTCTGATGTCAATAAATCTCAATTCATATGGAACGTTTGTTTTCTTTACAATGATTTGCTTAAATTGTGAAGATGAACCCAGCATTGATTTTATTTTCCATTTTGCAGTGTTTAAATCACGAAGAATTAAATTTAAATCAAACTTTCCCGAATTAAAACCTATGATATTCACTTTATTGAATTCCTCATCTAGAAGTTCTTTAAATGCTTTCTTCTGTTTTTCATTTAATGTTTGCGGCTTCATTAATTCTTCATATTGACTCATATTTGATTTAGCAACTAATGAACAGGTTGAAAATAAAAACTCAATCCAATCAGAAATAAAAGAATCACTCGAAGTTAAGCAAAAATTCCTCGTATACGTTTTATCATTTAATTTAACTGTTGATGATACCATGAATGGTTTTAAGTAAGCATTCAAAGTTGCACACTCAGAAAGTTGTAATTCTTCTTTAGTCTCTAATGTTTCAAAGTCAAAAGTAATATAATATCTTGTCGGTTGATAATATTCCTGCAAATTGTGAGCTAATAACCACTGATATATCTTCTGTTTCGTAATATGTGGTGCATATGGTTGCTGGGTCTTTTGCAATTGAACGTCTTGAATTAATCTTCCATTATTTTCTTTACATTTCTCACAATGCTTTAAAAATCTTCTTTGGTTTTTCCTTTCTGGATCATCGCGGATAGAATAAACTTCTTCTTTACAATATGGACAAACTTTATAGCCGGTGAGTGCTTCAACGTCTGTTATTCTGTCAGCGTGAAGTTTTCCACATGGACTCTGTGTTAATAAAATATTTACTGTTTCAAATTCTGGATCTATCATTATTGATTCCACTAATGGAAAGTCTACCTTATTTATGTCCACGTCTTCTGGTTGAGGATCACAATAATAGAAATCAATATTAACATTTAACATTCTCGCTAATCTCTCACTTTCTGATGAAATGTCAAACCCTTCATATGCATCTATTGCTTCATTTAAATAGCTTCTACGAGTTTTAGGATTAACACCATCAGGAATGTTATAGAAGCGTTTAAATAACCTTCTACCTTCTGCTCTAATTTGATTATCATTCATTTTAGCTGTTCCGTTTTTGTTCATTTATGTAAGAATAAAAAATTAAAAAATAAATAAAAATAAAGTTTATTTTTTAAAGCCCATAAAATGAATTAAGAACACATAAATTTTTATCATCTGCAACGTGACGAATACATTTTAATTTACTCAAGAATGTGTACCCTGATACATTAAATCTAATTCCTGTCTTATTTAATTTCACAACTTTGAAAAGGAATGTATGAATAGCTATAAAATGATGAGAAGATGTTTTATGGGTTGCTTCCATTTTTTCTGAAATAAATGAATAAATATAATGTTTATAAGTTTTCATATCTTTTATGTTCTTAATAACGAATGGTATAGACCTTTCAACTTCGTCTTCCTTCGGTGCTGTTCTTTCATATGAAACATTATTGGTATCTTCAATAATGAAACCACAATCACACAAAATTTTATAGGTTCCAATGGTTTCTTTTGATATTTTATCTAATAAATCAAAAACTTTATCAACACCCGTGCATTTATTTAAATAATAATTTGTGTAAATATCATGATCTTCTTTCTTAATCGTATTAGTTGCATATGTCACGTTTTTAAGAGCTTTTTTGAATTTCTCAGAATCGAGAGGGGGTGAAAGTAAGATACAAGGGTATTCTTCATTATCAATAAATTGTAACTTATGTTTACGAATAAATTTAGTACCTTCTTCTGAAAGTGTTTCGTCTATCTCACCATCTAATAAATTTTGTGTTGATTCTGAGACATAATTTTTATATCTTTCTTCATGAGATTTCTGAACTTCTGATTCTGAAGCTGGGATATTCATTAAACCCTCTACTTCATTTTCATTATATTTTTCAACTTCTCTTAATTCCTTAATTTTTTCATCTATTTCATCTCTTATTTTTTCCAGTCTTTCAATTTCAATTTCATCATATTCATCATCTTTAATTCGTTCTTCATAATATTCAGGGAAAACATCAGGTTCTTTAGGTTTTTCTTCTTTAGATGTAGGATATAAGAAATTTATAACATCATCTTTATTCATTTTTCCATCATAATCAAATTCATTTAAGAACTCCGCGAATTTTTTACAATTTCTTAAATAATATTTATCAACTTCATAACCCGCCTCCTCTAATATATCCTTTATTTCCCCGTTTGTGAATCCTAAATTTTTAACGTTGTTAGTTTTGACGCTCATTTTCATACAAAATAAAAAAATAAAATAATAAACATATCATTAGTTTCTAATTTCTTTTTCTCATTTATGAGGTCTTTGATTATGACTTCATTGATTCCATTCATGATTTAAACAATGTTTAATTAATCGCGGAATATCTGACATCATCTATATATATAGCTTCTTTTATTTTTATTACATCATTTATGGTCTGAGTGTAAATGTCTTACAATTTTGTATCATTTTTAAATCTTGATTTATTCAAAAACGTAAGAATAAAAACCGTAAGAATCATACATTTATTTTATCAATTGTATGAAAATTACTTACAAAATCGTTCAATATTGTATGAATTCTTACGTTTACAAAAAAGGTCACACAACCCTCCATATATACTACTTTCAAATTTTGATAAGATATATCGTGAATATTATCCATCCGTCAAAATATTTTAGCCTCAATTATTATATGATAAACCAAAAATTCAAGGGAATAAGGTAATTATCTACAGGTTATTTAGAACTTATTCAATAGATAGTGGAGTGTCGATAATAAAATAAATAATCATCAAGCTCAATAATGATTAATTGAATTGTGTAAAAATCCATTCAAAATTGAGAAAGATTTTATAGTCCGTTGACGATACACTTTCAATTGATTATTTCCTTTAATTTAGTATTTCTGATAAAAATGTAGGAAAATGATTTATACGAAATATAAATTAAATATAAAATAACGGTGGATGGCATGTAAGATATAAATTGGATGATGAACCTGATACCATGCTTCAAGTAATTAAAGGTGGTCATCGAGATGTTGCCACTTACAAAAATGTGAAGTTTACAACATCAGTTCAAGCCATATCAACTAAGTACTTATCAATTGTTTGGAATGTCAAAAATAATGACGTAGATCCTCATTATATCTATTTAACCGCATTTGCAGACATTCAGATTGCAGAAAATGATAGAGCAGATGTTTATAGGTACCCAAATAATAGTAGAACAGATAGTAGAGGCATTACAATGAAAGATCCCAGAACAAATAACACATTAACACTTGTTGTTCGTGATGGTTACAACGTGGAGAATGTGGATGCATATTGGTTTGGACTTTGGGAATCTCTGGTATATCACGAATGGGATTCAACAAATATTACTGAGTTTAAAGAACAAGATTCTTTTCGCCTGAAGAGAAATTTTAAGGAAAATATTAAGTTGTGCAATTTGCATTTATCTCTTTATGTGATGCATATTTTCACGATCTGACAGCAGAAATCGAATCAGCGGAGCCAGAAGAATCAGATTACGTGTGGAAAATAGGTTTTGAACGCTTAGATAGGGCTAAAATGAGACTTTATGAGATGTGTTGTATAATTATAGTTTTTGCGATAATGTGTCATGAGATCAGAATATGAAGAGAGTAAATATGTATTATTGTCACGGGTTTATATGTGGGATAGCTCGATAGAGTCTCTAAAAGAGATTAGTACGTGAGTAAGGCGATTTAATAAACAAAAGAAAGAAATAATTAAATTTTTTTTTAACTTCGAAAAGATTGTATGAAAGTGTCTTTGATTGTAAGATACATTTAGATCGACAAGAGTGTATTGTGCACTCTTGTCGGTCAAACTTGCATTCAATTTGATGAATGCGGAAGATTGTCTCATTCTGGGAGACATGCAGTGACAATGTCTCCCGGAATGAGACATGCAGACCGACAAGAGTGCACAATACACTCTTGTCGGTCGAAGTTTTGCAATCGCGTTGTGATTGCAAAAGATTGTGCTATTCCTGCATATTTTCTACGAGCCTGCTTCATAAAATTGAATCCTTCTATCCAAATTAAATGCGATTTCGCTAATCTTTCATCTAAAATCACTAATCAGAAGCATATTGCAAGTTAACTTGAACCGGCATGTTCCTCCTATCCTGTCTTTCAGTTCTTTCTATCAGCCATGGTTCACAAGGAGGAGAGCTTTGCGCACAATCAGACATAAGATTGCGGCAGAGGAACCGGGAAGAGAGCAGCTTGAAGCGGTAAGATGTCCGAATGCTGTCTCCCAGGTGTATCTGTCAGGCAAAGTTCACAAGGAGGAGAGCTTTGCGCACAATCAAACAGAAGATTGCGGCAGAGGAACCGGGAAGAGAGCAGCTTGAAGCGGTAAGCTGTTTTCAAGTCTTTAGTTAACAAACTTTAACAAAAGACATCTAAAAAATTTGAAATAATTGCAAAATAATGCCGTCAGGTAATGCGCACCTAAGGGAGGTGTTTTGCGGGAGCTGGGGGTATCTTGGTGAGTACTCAGGAGGCCAAGAAGGGCACCCCAACCGACATTTTGCTGACGCATTGTGTAAGCAACCATTCTGATAACAGCTCAAACCGTCGGGACAAAATAATTTATGAAATTATAAGTCATCTTTCTAATACATATTTTTGGAAGGGCGTAAGATACGCCAACTTAAATATATTATTAAATATGAGAAAATCGCTCAACAAAAAAACAATTCTTTCAAAAAGTTTAAAATTTATCTTTCTAATACATATTTTTGGAAGGGCGTAAGATACGCCAACTTAAATATATTATTAAATATGAGAAAATCGCTCAACAAAAAAACAATTCTTTCAAAAAGTTTAAAATTTATCTTTCTAATACATATCCTATGGAAGGAGTTTACATTCACAAAATAAAAACCAGTTCAAAATCTTATTACTCCTTGAATTAAAATCATTTAATTTCAAATCCATTCCAAATCCTTAAATCTGTATTAAAATCATTTTGCCACCAACCAACACAATACAAATTACATTTCCATATATCTTCTTGTCCATTTTAATTTTTTATCTCATTTTATTTAATTTTATTTAAAGCATATAGACATCGAGATCCTTTACACATAGTTATATAAAAGTCAAATACATAATAAATTCTTAATTCTAGAGATATCTCAAAATCTCAATTTTTTAATTTAAAATACCTTTCATTTTTCACAGTAATATCACAACAAACAAGCCATTTACTAATTAACACATATAAGAAAAATATCAAATTACAAAACAACTTTCAATATCATTCGCATCGAATTCTATTTTTTCATAATTATCAACTACATGTTATTATATAATATATGTCGGCGCATATTCCACTCTATACAAGTGTCAGACACACTCACACAAAGCTGTGAGATTCATACCTCTATCAGTAGGACTTCTCAAATCAAGAACACATATGTTTCACTATCGCACATCTGTGTAGGATCTAATTAACCCTTTGGACTGGTACTTCAAAATTTGATAATTTGATAATTTCATGTGATATCATCATTTGCCTTTAAAACAACTGTGCGTTAAACTAGACATGTTTCTCTATCATAATGCAAAATATCAAAGTTTGGGAGACTCCCAAAGTGTCTGAAACTGATCATAAGGGTGAAAAACCGTTTTCCAGAAGTTGGGAACGTAGGGTAATCATATAAGTAAAAATGGATAATTTGTATACATTGAAATTGTATAAGATAATAAAACAACTTTTTTACGAAATCAAAGATAAGATAAGCTACTTTTTCTTCTCCTGAAATTAGATCTTTCCAAATTTGTTACAATTACCTTATCAAGTCTAGTAATATAAGGAACGCCATCATATAGTAATGGTTGTTTCCTTGTTCGCTCAAAATCTTCTAAAGCAACTTTTATTTTCTTGTCTAAACGAGGTAAAACTGTTTTGTATCTTCTTTTGGCTTTCTCATCATTTCTATTTGATTCATACTGATTGATAATATCTTCTCTTTGTTCAATAAGATCCAAAATTGGTTTCTCGTCAACTAGAAGTTTTCTTAAATTAATTACTAAATTATGTAACTGTAAAAAGTATGTTTTTTCATCTGTAAACTGGCCACCAAGTAATTCATCAATATTTTCTTTAGGCATATGCAAAATTTGTGACAATTCGTCAATCTCATTACTCAATTTTCCAATAACTTCATCTAATCTTTGATCTTTTTCAGCATTAAGTCTGATAACTTCATTACGCGCTACTTCAAGAGATTTCTTTGATAAATCTTTTTGCTTCAATACGATTTCTCTGTCATTTTCTGGAGTATCTAATAATTGCCATAATGAAGTAAGCTGAATAGCTAACTTGGAGAGTTCTTCTTTGCGAACATCATATTCTGTTTGGTATTGATTGAGCAAATAATCAAGAGTTTCTATATTTTGTTGAGAATAAACTGTTGAAGAAATAATATTTTGCATATCTTGTGTAAAATCTTCGCCAAGCTCAATTAAAAGCTTTTGTAATGCTGTAGATCTTTGCTCAAAAGATTCTTTTCGCCTGGAAACTGTTTCAGTAAGAATTTTATTTTGTTCTTGCAAATGAATAAGTCTATCTTCTGACAAATCTTCATACTCGGCTCTCGAAAAATCGCCTCTGTCCTGTTCTGGAAATCCAATTGTGTCATAAAGTTGGTTAATAGATGTAATTACTTCTTCAAATTGTTTTTGTCTTTCTAATATAGCGTCTTTATATTTTTCAAAGTATGAATCCATTTCATTGTTAACTTGACGTAAGGATTTTTCGTTCGAAAAAATATTTTGGAATGAATCGATGTCTTCTTGTGGTGCTTTAATTGATTTAAGAAGCTCTGACATTGTGTGAAGTCTTTTCAACGTTGCTTCATGCATCTGTGTGCATTTGAAAACTTGTAAATCTAAAAATTCTTTTTTAGCATCCAAAATTTGATGCCTAATATTATTAATTATCTCTTCCATTTGATCATCTGTCAATTCTAATTGCTTCCAAAGTTGCCTTAATGTTGTTGTATCTAATTCTTCACTTTCATCAATCATTTTAAACGTCTTTTTTAAAAGGGGGTAACACTTTGATTTCATTTTCTGTTTTATACTAGCATAATTAAACTTGGATCCATTCACGCTCATGACAACAGTTTGTTCCGAAGTGAAGTGTATTTGGTTGGGTATTAGCTGATTCACACCACCGTATCAGATTCCGATTATTTAATTTTCAGAGATATCCAAAAATATCTAAAGCGGATGCCATTTAAAAAGAATCTACCTAGATTTAATAATATAAAATAAGTATTTATTTCGGATCAAAAAAAAATAATTATATTTCGTGTTCTTCACCACCTTCTGACATACAAACAATTTCCATAAAGACACGCTCAAGCGATGATGATGAGCATGTGAAGTAATTGAAGCCGTTATCTCCTTCGAGACCTTCTTCCATTACTTCAAAGAGGTTACCAAGTGTTGTCTTTGATGCTGGAACGTTGTAAATTCTTGCTGTTGGACGCTTAATAGAGAGCTCAGCTTCCTTCAATCTTGTATTGAAGAAGAAGTCGACCTTTGTGTCTGTCTTTTCATCGGAATCTTCCAACTGCATATCGATCTTGTAATCTGTACCGAACTTAGCGGACAAGTACTGTGGAGAACCAACTGTGTAGACGTTGCCTTTGATCATGATTGAGATGTCGTCACAGAGCGCTTCTGCTTCACTGAGGATGTGTGTGCAGAGCATGAATGTCTTCTTTCCTCTGTAGTACTGAATCATCTCGTGGACCTGGTGTCTTAATATAGGATCGAGTGTTGCTGTTGGTTCATCGAGCAATATGATTCTTGCTCTTCCGAGGAAGCTGAGTGCGATTGCGAGCTTTCTCTGATCGCCATCACTGAGTTCTCTGATTGGTGTGTCCTTGATGCTTTCAACATCGAGAAGCTGAATGAGTCTCTCTGAGTTCTTCTTTTCGTTCTCAGGAGACATCTTGTGGAGGAGAGAATAGAAGTGGAAGTGCTCTGAGATTGTCATATCATCACAAAGATGAGTGTTGAATTGTGGGCAAACACTGAGAATATCTGTGTTGCTGTTTTCAGTGATATCAACTCCATCAACTTCAATTGTGCCAGAAGATGGTGGTAACATTGATGTGATCATACTCATTAATGTTGTCTTACCTGCACCATTAGCACCTAAGAAACCAAAGAGAGAACCTTTCTTGATACCAAGAGAAACATCATTAACAGCAGGAATTGGCTTTCCTTCAGTGTTGAAGAACAACTTGGAAACATTATGAATTCTGACAGCATAATCCTTTGATCCAGCAACTTCATTTTCCATTCTTTTGGCTTCATCTGTAACTGGATGTTTAGCTTTTTGCTCTCTAAAGAAGTCTTGATAGTCACCATAATTGCTCTTAGCTAATTTCCTTCTGATTGCATTACGTGAATATTCGATGATCCAAAGGATAACAGTGTAGATAAGGATGTTGATGAATGAGAAGATGAAAAATGGGAATGCATCAGAATCTGTCGAGAAGTAGTGCTTGATTCCATCTTTGTTATATAATGACTCGAGGAACACTTTCTGCATATATCCTTCGAGCATAAGAGGTGGGAATAATGCAAACAACCAGCTGAGCTGCTTAGTTGAGTCACCATCACCGATCATCGAAGCCAAGAAAGGGATCATGAGCATAATCAAGTTGATGATGAACATGTTTCTTCCTGCGTTATCTGCGTTGCTGAATAAGAAGCTCAAGCAGTAGATGTATAGCATGAATGAGAATCCGCAGATGAAGAAGATGTAGTATGTTATTTCTGGGTTTTGTGTGAAGACCTTGATTTGGAATATGAGGAATACAACCCAAACGAGTGTGATTTCGACGAACCAAACGAGCATATCGAATATGTAAGTGATAACCCAGTATGGGAGAATCTTGAGTGAGCACGAGACCATGTATGATCTTACTGGACCTTGAATATCGATGATTGGTCTTATGATGACACTGGAAATGATTGAAGTGAGACCCATTGCGATCAACATCGGGACATCATCGCGAAGAACGAATCTTGTGAACTTCCAGTGAGGACTGTGTATATGACCTTGAAGTCGATTCCCTTCTTGATGTTCCTGTCTGTGAACTCCTTGTTCATGGCATCTTTCGTTTCTTGTGGGATCATTGAGAACTTTTCATCATCGAAATCTGGTATCTTTGCGAGTGTTGCGAGTTCAACTCTGTACATGATGCAGTAACCGATGAAAGAGTTGTTGATTGACTGGTATGTGTTTGAGTCAGCTTCTGATGTATCATTCCAAATGAGAGAGATGTTGTTTCCACCAGTTGCACTGAATTCGTCTGGAAGGATGAATCCCATAGCAATATATGTTCCATTCTCTCTGCACTTGTAAAGGTAGTCATCTGCACTTGTCTGATTGCTGAAAACGTGTAGTGTTGGGTAAACACCAATATCTGTCTTAACAAGAGATCTGATTGAATCTATGTATTTCTTCTGGAATGGCTTATTCGCGTAGTTGTTTTCGTAATCACTTGCAATAACAACCAAGTTATCAGCTTTATATGGGTAAGCAGAGAAATCAAATGTTTTGTATGTGTCCTTGTAAACTGCTGCTGTCATGTACTTAATCAAAATTGCCAAGCATGAAACAACTAATGTGACAATGATGTTTGAAATAAATGGACCAAATGATCTTTTGATTGCAATCCATTTTCTGTACGTCATGGCTCTGTACTGTGATGCAAAGCGGTGATACTTCTGATCATGTTCTATTTGACTTTGTTCATCATCTTCTGGCATCAATTCCATGATGCTTGAAGTTCTGCGAGAAATTGCGGATCTACGTCTGTGTGGAGACTTGGGGATATGTATAGCATACTCGTCGTATAAAGACATATCTTGTTGAGTGATGAAAAATAAAAATGAACAAATTTCATCACAGGCTTTTTCAATCAGAAAATTGAATGTGTTCTCAAAAAAAGCGAACATTTAACAATGTTGGTTCTTTTGAACTTTTATCAATATTTGAGCTTGAATTAATAATTAGTTTAATAATAAAATTTGTGTTGATCCAATTTTTCAGAGGAAATTTTTGATTACTATTAAACGATCTTTCGCTATGATTTAATATTCTTGATTGATATGGTAAATGAATTCATATTTTCTTAATTTAAAAATTTAAAAATTTGAAAAATCTGCTCAAAATTTTTGAAAGTCGATAAATTGAAAGCTTTTAGTTCATTTTAGTTTAATGTCGCGGGTTTCACCCATGAATCTTAATGAAGATAAAGGTAGCCAATGGTCACAGAGAAAGCCAACATTTTGGAAGACTTTCAGATCTCTTCTCAGAAGATCTTTGCTCATGAAGATCAGAGATTGGAGTTCTGTTGTTGCCGAAATCATCTCGCTCTTGATTATCATTTCCATGGTATTATTCTCCAAAATGGGAAATTCTCCAAACGAAGAGATCAAGAACCCATCTGTTCAGACGAAAGATCAAATGTTTGGATCTACACTTGTTCAATACATGAGAGTTTATACTCTTGGCGATGGCGGAAACTTTGTCGCAGCACCAAACAAAGATGAGACGAAGACGATGATCAAAGATTTCTGGAGTAACAAAACAATTCCAGTTTACGACACTAAAGCTGGCAAAGTTTCAGAAATGGTGAACTTATCAGAAAGATTCGAATACCTCTCAACGCTCGATGACTTCCCAGATAACTTCCAGTCCACAGAAAAATCATCCATCGGTATTTTCCTTGCTAACTCAGGCGAAGAAGGCTACTACAGGAACATAACAGCAAACGTTGCAAGCAACAACGAGCAAGCAAATATGTTCACCAGTATGACAGACATGGTTGCCGGCTTTTCTTACGCGATGACAGGTGAATCACTCGCAGAAGCTTTCACAGCAGTCAATGCTAAGCTCCAGGCATACATAGACTCACCTCCAGCTGACCAGGCTGAGCTCAAGCAAAATCTCACCAACGAGCTCCTCTCAGTTTCAGCTGAAGGATATAGCAGTCCAAATATCAACGGCTTAGTTATGTCAAGACCAGAAACAACAACATCTCTCCCACTCAACCTCGCTATGGCTTTCCACTCAACAATTCCATGCGTCATCGCAGCAATGCCTGACTTGTCACTCATCCTTGAAGATAAGGAGTCTCACATGATGACATTCATCTTCCTTATGGGTGCCAGTGAGACAGCATATTACTTAGTTGCTATACTCACAACATTCCTCACATGCATCATTCCTTACATCGTTATCAGTATCATTTTCTCAGGTGTCGCAGTCATGAAGGGAACAAACTTCTTCCTCATATTCATCCTCTCAATCCTCTTTGTCATATCTTACATCCAGTTCCAGAACTTCTTGAGCACATTCTTCAAGAAGAAAGGAAACGGTAGAGTCATTACTGTTGTTTTCCTCATTCTCATCATTTTCTTTGCATACCTCAACAACTCATTCACTATGAAGGCAGCTGATCCAGTCAAGCACGTATTCTCTCTCATTCCATTCGTCACATGGGAGCTTGCAGTCGATGTCATGTTCGAAGAAGTCAGAAACAGCAGACCACCACTCGGCTGGGGCGATGTCGGCAGAAATTACTTGACATATCCACTCTGGTATGCTTTCATGTGGTTCATTCTCGATACATTTATCTGGGGTGGCTTATTCATTTTGTTCAACTCCACAATGAACAGTGGATTCGGCGCACCTCCACTCAGATGGTCAGACATCTTCCACTGTCACTTCAAGGGCAAGGAAGAGATCAAACTCGAGGATATCAATGACAACAACTCTCTCATCAAGGTAGACAGCCTCACTAAGATATACCCAACACAGAAGAACAAGAACAAACCAGCTATCGACGATGTATCATTCGACATCAAGAAGGGCGAAATCATTGTCATGATTGGTCCAAACGGTGCCGGTAAGTCATCCATCATCAATGTTGTTTCAGGTGCACTTCCTGCAACAAAGGGTACTATGTCTCTTGGTGGTCAAGAAGCAACAGACAGATTCGGCGGTATCCAGAACTGTCTCGGTATTGTGTTCCAGGAGAACGTAATTTACAGACTTCTCAGCATCAGAGAGCATCTTGAGATCTTTGGACGTATCAGAGGTATTGATGAATTCACACTCCAAAACTCTATCGATTTCTTCGCAGACAACCTTCAACTTCGCGAAATGCTTCCAAACAGAGCTGGTGACTTATCTGGTGGTCAGAAGAGAAAACTCTGCATTGCACTTTCACTCCTCGGTAACCCACCAATTATCATGATGGATGAGCCAACAGCAGGTGTCGATGTTCAGGCCAGACAGCTTATTTGGAAGACAATTTCTACCCTCAAGGAAAGCACATGCATCATCACAACACATGCACTTGAAGAGGCAGAAGCAGTTTCATCAAGAATGTTTGTCATCTCAGGTGGTAAGATACCATTCAGTGGCACATCAACAGAACTCAGAAGCAAGTTCAAATGCGGATATCTCCTCAGACTAGACTGTGAACCAGAGAACATGAGCAAAATCTTGAAGGCATGCGTTCATCAAAGAAGCGACAATAATGGAAGAACGTGATGATACAATTTGCATCCCAGTAAACAAGAATATCGGAAAGCTTCTCAAGCACCTTGATGCAAACAGAGAAGCTCTCGGAATTGACAAATACTCATTCTCCGTAGAGCAACTTGAAGATGTTCTCCTTAGAATTCTTGGACACAACTAATATATCTAATGTCTATTGTATTAGAAAACTGTATTGAAAATGTGCCAGTCATTCTCGGATATTGGGGCTGAAATTCAACAACTGTGGAAAATGCAGTAATTTGTCCGTTCCTATTGGACGAGAAATCACTTAAGTTTTTATTCAGCAAATCATATAATGACATTAATAAAATTAATGATTGCGCAAAGGAAGATATAAATATCCAACAGATATACTTTAAGAAATTTGTTAATTCAATGAAAGCTGAACGTATATTCAACAAGAGATATCACTTCAAGAACAACCAGTAAGTGTAACAAATATCATATATTATTGTGTGTTGTACATAGAAAACGAGTCCCATTCTATATAAAGCGTATGTCCAAATCAATTCCATTAAAAAAATAGGATAACTACGCATAATTGGGCTAATTAGATTGTAATACAGTATCTCTAACAATAATTCGTGGAAACAATTTGATGGAACTTATTTTTTTACGAAAAAAAGAACCTAAAAACATTTTTAATTATTCCCATAAGATATTGTAATTCTTTTAAAATTAAGGACAGCCACATTAATTATCAAAAATTAACGATAGAAAAAAATTCAATTGAAAATTTGATACTATTTTAAATTGAACCAAAAATAGGATTGCTGTGATGCCAGTTGTATGTTTAAATAGAATACAATGATTTGAAAAATTTTATGAAAATTTTTGGTTTGGTCATGATTAACCAGTGACAATTTTCTAAATAAAGCCCTCATTGTGTCACTGCTCATCTACGATAGTACCAAATAACATATCTCTTTATCAAGCCCATTGCCTTTTTGGAGACAAACTTTCAAACGGAATCTAGAGAAATTTCATAAAATTATCATGTTAAGATAACTGCGATTAGAACTTATTGTGGTTCAAGGCCAAGTAGAAGTATCAAATTTCTTTGAAAATGTCGCTCAGATTTGAATTTTATATGATTCAATGTAATTGAAATAATATTCAAATCGTGACCAATTTCGAAATGCTAAATATGCATGTGCTATAAAATAATGCTTATGGATAAAAATTGGTTTGTTAACAAAATTGTGAAAGTCTTTAGAACTGTGCTTTCTGAAAAATTGAGAATAAACAGCACGACAGTGAACGTTAATAAATTAATTGAACTTTTTTATCTGAGTTTAATTTGGTAATATTTATATACTACAGATAATGGCAATTCTGAAAATCCCGATTTTGGAATTTTATGGAGTTCTCATCAGATGGGAAAATTATTGTATTCTTTTTACCAGAATGAAAAAGGAAAAATAAGTTGTATTGAATAAAGACGAACATCTAATATAATTTACACGATATGGTAAAAATAAATACAAAATAAAGTTACATGAAGTCATCTGAATCGTTGTTACCATCGTATTTTGGTAAATCACCAAGAATCTTTGAAGATTTCTTTGATGGCTTGCCAGTCGATCCTTCAGATGAGTAGTCATAAGAGTCGTAATCATTGTCTTGCTTCTTAAACTTTGAATTCTTAATGAGATCGTTGAGATCCTTCTCCATTTCTGGGATTGTGGTAGAAGCCTTGTTCTTTTCAAGGAGCTTTTCGATCTGTTTGTTGTTTCTTACAGCTCTATTGTATAAGATCTCTGCGTTTGGAACAAATGTAACTGTTCCAACATTTAAGGATTTGGTCTTGGCTAAGTTTGTGCAAAGTGTATAGATAACATCTGTAGCTGGTCTCTTTACGCCTTCTATTGAGCCAAGCTTGACAATCTGGGAGCAGATTGCAATAAGCTTCTGTGGTGGTACTGTCTCACCTTCGTTGAGTCTAAGATAAGCATGTGGGCTTGAGAAATTATCAACATGGAACCAATAAACAAGAGTCTTGAGCTCATTCATATACCTCTGGGAGTACTTAATGAGTCCATCATTCTCGAACTTATCATCACCAACAAATAAGAGATGGTTGTCGATGTTATAGATGATTACCATTTTGGAAGAATGGTCGAATCAATAAATTGATTGACGATAATAATACACAGAAATTACTCTGCCGATATGAAATTTTCTTTCAAATTTTATATAAATAGGTAAATATTACTCATGAGCATATGTGAAACATGGAAATCAAAAACATTGGATGAAATCTTGGAAAATTTTTAAAAAACGTATTTTTACCTCTCACAAAAGATTATTTGAATGATTTAAGAAAAAAATGGATGCAGGGGAGATCGAATCCTCGGCCTCAACAATGCAAATGTTGCGCTCTACCACTGAGCTATGCACCCTCACATTAAACTATCATTAATTTCCCTTAAATACTTAATCGAACTTAATGAGATCCTTGGTATCTTTGAGTACATTTATTGAAAAAATAATTCGAATTTCAAAAAACTCTTTTAAAACTGTTACCAACTTTCATTATTTTTATACAATATGATTATATTTTAATACTTTATTATTTTTAGATCATAATATTCTGCAATATTTTTTCCAAAAAATTTTTAAAATGTTTCATTTCTTTTAAGGGGGCACCCGCATGTACGTTTATTTGAGAGGAGGAGGATTACCCTCTCAATTTTGAAAGCTTCGTTAACATAATATCTCGATGAATATTGGATTAAAATTGAATTTGCCCATACCAATATATCTGATACAATATCCTTAAGTTTTACTAAAAAGAATTTTTTAAAATCCCTGCAGATTCGGGGATTTTTAAATTTTTTGATTTTTTTCAAAAATTTTTCGAAAAAAAATATTTTCAGAAGAGCCTTAACGCCTAAGTTTTATGTTTAATGTTGAGTATCAAAAAGAATGGGCATCTGATATGTAATAAACAGAAATTCATCAAAAGTGACAGCTCTCAATTTTTTGACATTTGTAAATTCTAAATTGAATGAGAAAAATGAAATAATACTAAGCATAATACAATATTCTAGATTTAATTATAATTAGGAAAAAGTTAGTTTTGAGAGTACTTTTCATAGGCATATAGAATGAAATCTTCTGAAAAATAATATCACATAAACTCATATTATTTTCTAATATATAACTATTTGATATAAAAATCAAATTCAATGATCTGAAAAGCGAAGGATAAACCTCAAAATTTACGAATATGATGAGTGGGAATAGGCGTAAAGCAAAAATTGATATTTCATATGGTTTTATGATAGATAAGCATTATATTCCCACTCATTATATTCGTAAATTTTGAGGTTTATCCTTCGCTTTTCAGATCATTGAATTTGATTTTTATATAAAATAGTTATATATTAGAAAATAATATGAGTTTATGTGATATTATTTTTCAGAAGATTTTGTGTTCTTCTTCAAAATTTTACTTTTTTATTAAAAAGAATCTTTACAAAATATACATTTACTTTAATTAATATTTAAAAACGTGCTCTATCAAAAGTTCCAAAAATTCAATATTTTAGCTTTTCTGAGGTGTCACTTTTGATGAATTTCTGTTTACAACAGATATAGCCATCATATATCCCAGAAGCAAATAAAAATTCTGACTTTTTAAGGGTGCCCTATAGACGATAGACCACCCTCAGAAAAGCACTTTTAAGGCTATTATATTGAGAACTAGAATCTGGATAATCCATTCATTTGAGTTCTAATAAGGTTAATTTTGTGATGTTTACATTATCGTTATAGGGCACCCTTAAGCATAAAAAATGAAATTTTATTTTTTGCAAAAAACAGGCCACCCGGATGTACGTTTATTTGAGAGGAGGAGGATTAAATTTTTGAAAGCAGTAAAATTTGTAAATATGCTAGTTATATAATAATATGCATTATTTTAAAAAATAAAAATTAAAGCACGTTAAATTTTTTTTGATGAATTTTTACAAAAGCTACTCAGGATAATGCAAGATATGAGTAGTTAAACATAAATTTCAAATCAGATTTTACTTATAATAAATATTTTAAATTTCCGAAAATTAAGTTCAGATCGACTCTATACGTAGTAAATACTAAATAAGGTGCCAAAAACCTATTAAACAGTATCAAAACTATCAAGATTGTAATGTTTTTGAAGAAAAATTTATAGAATTATGGACTTCAAACAGATATTATGTAAATAAAAATAATATAATGAATTTATTTATTCGTATAATAGCAGTAATAAGTCGATTATTCACTTCTACTTCTGAGATTTGAATTTAATTTCGACAGAAAAAGAGATTCAAGAGGAAAATACTAGGGGATACAAACTGCCACCATGACAGGATTATTATGGAGCCAAGTTGTATTTTTTGATATTTTTAGAGTTTTCCTACCTATTTAGGTACCAAGTTATTGCTTAAAAATTAAGGTTCTAAATTCTGAAGTTTACATGATCCTCCCGGGCGCACCCTTAAATTTTTAAATAATTTATTCTCATTTTTCATAAAATGAAAAAAATTTGGAAAAAATCAAATAGCTAAAATCAATATAAAATACATATTTAACAGATTTTCATTATTTTCTAATGTTTTTAATGGTTTTTTTTGATTGAATTTTATATTCAAAGCAGGTTCGTAGTTGTTAAGATAATAAATCAAATTCTTACTCCAAGCCATTACGAAATCGGACATAAACAATGAAATGTAAAATGTACGTTTATTTTGATCAGAAGCTATCTTTTATCTTCATTTCTTGAGGGTGAAAGACCATAAAAGATTTATTTTTCGATTATCTTGTATTCTTCAAAGAAGTCGTAAAGGTTTTCCACTGTTTTTGGATCATATCAGTAATTTTATAGAAACGTAGATTTGAAGATTTAAAACAAACATTCCAGGAATATGTTTAGGCAGGTACATTAGGTAATAGCGTATTCTATCAGTAAAATACCAAAAATTCGTACATCGTTTAATTTCATCATAAACTCGCAGCCATAAATCATCTCCTGATACTAGCGAAAAGTTATTTTCCCATAACTTTGTCGAATTGTAATTTGCGAATACTTTATTATATTCAGAAAATCCTTTGCGTCGTTAATGAATTTTGACTAAAAAAGACTGTTCTAGATCAACTCGTTCTATTTCTTATCAAAGTACAGAATGCGATCGCCAAATTTTAAACGTATTCTAATTGATTTGACCCATTAGAATAACGACTTACCGTCCCACATTTTCATGCTTACAGATAACAATACGTATGCACACCTCAACAATTAATCATACTTCGAAGTTCTTAGAAAGAGTTACATTAATATCGCTTCCAAAATATACGATATTGCTAGCAATGTACAGTTACAAGTGTACAAGTGTGCACATTTTCATGCTTACAAATCAAAAGTCATACATATTTTTATTCTATGTGGGAAGCGTGCCAAATTTACAACTTAGAGCATTAATTGCATGCGATGGTTATTGATGAATTCAGGTTAAACGAATTTATTTTCTCATTATTTTTTTTTATCAATAAATATTGATCTCCGAAATAAGCTACATGAAAGAACATATTCAGACATCACATACTGGTTTTCAGATGTCTTGATTCTTAATTGAATTTACTAAATTTTACTATAACAAATCCATTGTATATAATACATAAGATAGATTCACTTCTGCAATTATTAATCAATCTTTACATCATCTTTTTCAAGTATTTACAGTTTGATGAAATTCCAATATTGCAGCTTAGATGAGTAGATCTTATCTAGGAATCGAATATATTCATCATTACCAGTCTGAGTTATTGTCTCATGTCCTTTGTATAGATAAATCTTAAAGGCCAATTATAATTTTTGGATTATTTTCTTATTTTTACGTATATTTTTGAAAACACATTATTTTTACGTAAATATCGTAGAAAATATACTCAATGTAATTTCTCCAAAGTTTTATTTTTGCTATTTCAAGATTTAAATGATGAAACAAATGAAACAATCTAGGAGTTATTATGGACAAACAGAAATTACGCTTGAAATACTGATATTTTGTGCGTGAATTTTTTTTGAATTAGTATTCAAGCCAAATCCATGTGAATTGGATTTAGCATGCAAAATTAAATATGAAATGCAATATGTTGTTTCATGTAGATCGTTTTATTCAGAAGAAACGAATGAAAAACTGTTCACTTGAAGAAACAAAAAGGTTCTTACATGATCTGTTACAATAGAAACTATGAACTATGGCGATATCCAATTTCAAACAAGCAATTGCATAGATTTATTTCCATTTCAAATATTACAAACTCAATTTTTAAGATGAGTTCGTTGAAGTCAACATACACGAGCTAACAAAATCACAAAAATCCAGAAATCATTCATAAATTCTATTATAATTTTTTGGGGCTAAATGTTGCTATGTAGATTTCATTATGAAATTATTTAAAATAAAGGATGAAAATCATTTTCATTGATACAGCCTTCATATTCAACTTTGAAATTAACAAATTGAAATCACAAATTGAATAAAAATTAATCGGTTGATACAATTTCCCAACGTGGTTTTCAATTTAAAAACGATAGTTATCAAAATTGTAACATCCCAATATTTTAATGTTTTTCTTGTTGGTTATAAGGTTGGAAGTTAATTTAAATATTAATTTCGTTAAGAAAATTATATTCTCAATTTTCTCTTATAGTAGTGCAAATACCTATACCAATTTGAATGTGAAGACCCAAAGACGAAAATTGAATGACCTATTGAATCTCTCACAATAATTTGAAAGCGAAAACTTTATTGTATTAATGAGTCCAAATGGAAAATTCTTGATTAATTGGACTTTAAACATAGTTTTATGCATAATAACTAATATAACATAAAGCTTTCAAAAATTTATATATGAAACAAAGTACACAATGCATAATATATATTCATTTCGTATTGATTATTTTACATTTCTGAGGACACTCAAATTCAGTGCCTTTGAATTTATCAATTTTCAACTTTAAAATGAACTCTGGGAGTCACCAGAGTTCCAAAACTATAGCAAAATTTACGAAAGATGAAGATGAGCGATTACTTAAAATTATACGACAATTGGGTACGCGCGACTGGGAATCAATTGCTTCTTGCATGAAAAATCGATCACCTAGGCAATGCCGTGAGCGCTGGACAAACTATTTAATGCCCGATTTGAGTAGTGCTCCTTGGACTCCTGAAGAAGATGAGCTGTTAGAAAAATTGTATAAAATATATGGTTCAAAGTGGTCAAAAATTGCGGCACATTTGCCAAATAGATCGGCAAATATAGTACGCAACAGATATCGTAATAACTCTCGTAAAATTAAAAAAGCCCCTGATTCAATAACGAAATCACCTGAAAAATTGGAATCTGCTTTAGATTTGCTAGCAGAGATTCCACAAATGACAGAACTTGTCACATCAATACCACCATTAATTGATCACGAAAAAAAAAATCCTCAAAAAATTGAAATAGTCCATCCAGAACCAGATTCACTTCTTATTTCTAATTTAATGGCAGTACCTAAGTAACGCAATGCATATACATAATTTCTTGATCATATTAGTTGTTTTTGTTTTCCTTATTTGTTCGATTATTTTAAATCCTATCCATATTATATTGTAACTAATAATTATTATACCAATAACGGTGCATTTATGAATTTTTAGTTTTCACCTTCTCTTGCATATAATTTAAAGTCGATGAAATTTAATAATGATTATTTACTGTTTTCTTTTTAAATTTAAGTTGAAATCGAAATAAACAATTATTTTCTTATGGACAAATAAACTTTCAACTTATGTTTCTTATGTTCCTAAATTTGTTATGGATCGTTATCGCGAGAATCCAAGTTACATTCAAAATGATAGAATCTACTTGTTTCTTGATACATATTCTAGCCACAGAAATGCAGAAACAAAGAAGCTTGCTAAAGACTTGAACATCACACTCGTCTTCATTCCAGTTGGATGCACCGATCTGTGCCAACCTCTTGACATGCATGTCTTTGGCGCCTTAAAGAATATGGCAACGAGAACATGGTGGACTTACTATTCTATCGACACTTCCCTCGAGTGCACGCTGAAGTTGGCAGTGTATATTTTAATACGTTGCTGGAATGCGCTGACTCCTGAGCTCATTGAGACTGCATTCAGTATGCACATCAAAGATCTTGAAGAAAATGAAAGCATCCAACCACGTATCTCTGACGAAGAGGCCTCAGACTTCATTGAACGGATTGACGAAGTGAAGGCTCAATTCACAGTAGGCGAGCTTCTTGGCCAAAACACAGAAGAGGAAGACGCCCCTGATTTTGACCTCCTTCAAGAGTTCAATGAGATCAATGAACGACGCCATAGGAGACAGGAAAATACCCAGATTGAAGAAATAGTTTCAGATGATGAAGACTGAGATGGAAGTGATGATGAAGAAGATCTTGAAGGATTCACTCCAGAAGAAGAAAGAGAAATCCTTGAATATGATCTAGATCCATCAGAAATTGAAAGCGCAGTAGAACCTGAACCAAATTATAATCCTCCTTCTCCAGCTGAAGTGTTTTCGCCTCTTCCAATAGTTGATGTCCATTTTGAACCCACAGATCAATTGATACACTGCCTTGCATCAAGAAGCGGAGCATCTTTTATGGACTCTGTGGAATATGCTCCGCGATTTGATGTTTTGTTAACCAATCAGCTTCATTACTCAGAAATATTTAACGAGATCAGACGTCACAATCATTATGCCACAGAGAGGGTAAATTCACAAATCATCAGTCAGGCTATTCTCGAAGCGCCTTAAATGCCGCCATGCAATTGTTCTTGACTATCATTATCCTTGAAAATATTCGAATCGAAGAAGATAATGGTGCAAGAGCTTTAGAATTGTTTCAGGTTGGAGAAGAAGATTCCAAACAAGAAGATCTTCTCCATATCCTACAAATATTAGAACGTATGGGAAGATCTACTTCGATTTCACCAGGAAAAACATATAATATGCTTCATTTTGAACAACAAGGCGATCCACGACTCATTATTTCATCTTTTATGAACCCACATTTATGCGGGATTCAATTCATTGATGAGAATAATCAAGCTCAATGTGTTAACATGTTAAAACTTCCTGAAGATGGAAATTTCAAAGAATATTTCGAGAATAAAAAGATTACTCATGTGAATAGATACCTCTTCATTGCAAATGACCGCGAATCTCAAGAAGCTCAGCCAGACCAAATTGAACTGCTTCATGAACATTCACATATCATATTTATCAGATTTGCCATTGTTTCACTTACACTCGGAAGAGATGGTCATGCCTCTTTTAAATTTTATAAGAGACTTGATTTACAAGGCGAATATGTTGTGATCGATGAAAATTGGTGTTATGTGATCCCAAGAGGAGGAGCAATCGGATATCAATTTTTATCATTGTATGTCAGAGGTAAGGATGTTGAAATTGAAAATTAATTCATAATTTCTATTTATTTATATATTTTGTTTTTTATTTGTAAGCTGTAAATAATGATTTGTTATAAGAAGATGGTCTTTTTCACCAAGAAAAATTTTGTGTGTAAAAAATGGCAAACCCAAATTTTAGCTAAAAGTGACAGGAAAAAAAAACGTTTAGTATTAAAAAAAAGACCGATGAGAGCTTCGTTCGAAATATAGAGGGAACTGAGAATGCGCAACCATTCTCAGGGAATATTGGATGCTATTCCCGTTCCCTCTGTATGGAAAATTGAGGTTTTCAAAGGGAGTTAAAATAATATCAAATTTATACTAATTTACTTCAAAATACAAAAGTATTTGACAGCTAAAATTAGTTACTTTAGCAAGCCTATCAATACCCTTTTACGATTATTGCTACTTTTTCGAAATAAAAGTAAAAACAAATTTATACTAATTTACTTCAAAATACAAAAGTATTTGACAGCTAAAATTAGTTACTTTAGCAAGCCTATCAATACCCTTTTACGATTATTGCTACTTTTTCGAAATAAAATAAATTTATTATCAAAAACCTTTTTTTTCTTAGTAAAAATAAACGAAATTTTTTACCTTATGAACTTTTGATGGAAATATGCAAATTTAAAATAATAAAGAAAGCCGCGAGCGAAGCGATCGGCTTAGTTCGAAGATTTTGATTCAAATCTTTGCTGATCTGTAATTCGCGGAAGCCGCGAGCGAATCAAGCGGCTTAGGTCTAAGATTTTGATTCAAATCTTTGCTTATATTCCTTAAATTCTTTATGAAACTCGCAACAGTTCCATAAAAAATTTTAAATTCTAAACTGTCGAAATTACCGATCGGTAATCACACCCTTCACGGGCGTGTCACTTTTAGCTAAAATTACCCCTACTCCTTATTGGCGTGTAGAAATAAATGCGCCAATAGATTGAAGAAGAAGAATTGTTTTTCTCTTAATGAACTTTAATCCTTTTGATATAAGAATATTAAAAACATTAATATAATTTCGATTTCGGAAATTAAATTTCCAAATTTTTTGTCGATTTCGGAAATAACAGGATCCCGCATCCAACACGCAACAACAAAACACAAAACACACTTTTTGGTTCTATCATCGTTTTAATCGTAATTTATGTAATACATGATTTGGATAAATTTTACAAAAATAGAACCTATATTATATTCTTTTCAAAGATTCTTGCAAATCATCAAAAATAATTGTATTTTAAAAAACGATCAAATTATCCTTTCATTATTTTAAACTTAAATTAGTTTTTATGATTGACTAAAGCAATCATATTTATTCATCATTAAATAAACAAAAAAATAATATTTGAGAGTTATTTCAAAAAAACACATTGAATTTATTAATTTGTCTCAATTTCAGTATTATAAATTTTTATAATTTCAATATTTTGAAATACACTTTTTAATATTTCAATATTTATGATATTTCAATGTATTAAGTGGTCTCAAATTGTCAAAAACGGTTGCAAACTTGATTTCAAAATGAACAAATATCCAGAAATCCAACCATTTCCATTTTACACAGACATTGATCCATGCAATCCTTCTACTATATTATTTGAATGCAGTCATCCAGCTTTATATGTTTATTTAATCGAAAAAATGATTATTGTTACGGCCTATCTTTGGGTAATGGCAAAATATCTTCGCACAAATGATTTTAAATCACAAAAAATTATACGTACTATTGTTGGAATTTGCTCATATGCAGTTTTATACACTACTTTTTATTACTTTTTTGATAGTGTCACAACATATTCAACATACAAATCGCCAAAAACACAAATTTACAAATTGAAAATCATTCCCCTTGACTTTTTGTTCCTATGTCAGGCAAATTTCTTATGTGAAATCGCAGGACTCTTAGTATACATGAGAATATCATTCGCTCTTGTATTACAAATTTTAGCTATTGGGTTTAAATACCTTTGTTATGGGTTAATTTTGACCACTTTAGTTTTAATTTGTCTTCCATTTACGGGAGTTGTTGAGATATTCCACAAAGTGCTTGCTAACATTTATGCAGTGAATGATTACTTATATCCAGTTATTTATATGCTCGCAATTATTATTTTATCCTTCGCATTTGTATTCTCTCATGAATTTTTCAGATACATTAACAAACGATATACGTTATATATGAAAATAGCGCTATTTATACAATGCCTAGGTTTAGCACTCGATTTTTTGACTCATCGATGGGGCCATTCTAATCTCTTTATCTCACACCTTTATTATAGGAACAGACACAAGTACATGTACATAGACTTAATATTAAAGTTCTTCTACCATGATTTCCCACAGATTGTACTTTTGATGATTGTTATTATTATTTCACTTCCAGATATGAGTGATACATCATCACATTCAAGCACTCTTAATGTTGACCTTTTTTGAAGGTCCTTCTTGTTAATTTTTCTTTCAATTCTATTGTTTATAAAATGTTCTGTCACTTTTCAATTTCTTAAATTGCTTTTTAATATGAGGAGATGCAATATGGAAAAATAATTTGAGTGGAAATTTTACGGTTATTGAACGGTTGAAATACATTCAATAAAAAAATAGTGAATCATTCGATTTTTATGAGATGTATCAAAGTCCATGAATTCCTGGAAACTTAAAGATTCAAGTAAAGGCCACGAAGGCCTTGTTTCAGATGATAACTTTCAGAATTCAGTTATTTTTCATTATCCTTGCTCTTCCAATTATGATTGCACATACTATCATTCAGAATTACCTCCAGGCATATACAAATTTGAAGTTTGGGGAGCTGATGGCGGCGACGGAATGTACCATAGCACCTATACAAAGCGCCCTGGAAAGGGTGGTTATTCAGTTGGAGCATTTTTCATTAATAAGACTACAAATGTATATGTGTTCGTAGGCGGAAAAGGTGAAAATGGACTTCATCCATCTACTAGAGACGCCAAAGGCGGATATAACGGCGGTGGTGATGCACCAAGCGATAAAGTAGGAAGTAATAATGATTCAGGTGGTGCTGGCGGCGGTGCCACCGATATCAGGATTGGAGATGTTGACTTAGACAGCAGAGTCATAGTTGCTGGAGGAGCTGGTGGTACAGGATTTGATACCAGCTATGTAAATATCGAGATTACCCCCTTTGGTGGGGGTTTGACTTCATCTTTACCAAGATCCAGCGGAGGTACCGGAGTTGCTGCCTCCCAAACAACCGGATATCAAAAAGGAAACGGTCAAAAAGGTATTATAGGAAGTTTAGGAACTACAACTTCGGGAGGCGGTGGTGGCGGTTATTTCGGCGGCAATGCGATTGCAGAATCATATGGAGGTCAAGCCGGAGGTGGTTCTAGCTATATTGATGGAGTATTTTCATATGGAGACATTGTAAAAAACGCCACCAATGGAGAATCAGAAATGCCACTTCTAAATGGCGTCGGTAAAGGAAACAGCTGACATGGCGCTGCTAGGATCACGTTAGTATCTAGTGTTATCAATGATAAGAAGAAAATTACTTGTTTGCAAAATTGTTACTTCTCAAGTGACAAAAATATTTTATTTTATGTCCTTTTGATTTCTTTCTCGTAAACAATTTAATACGTAATTTAACCTTTCTCAAAAAATGCAAAAGATTTTTCCAAAATTTCAAAAAATTTGTTTTTATATGTCGATCACAAAACATGTAATCAAAAGGAAAGTAGATATGATTGGAAAAATTGAGCTGAGTCAAAATATTAAATTCCAAAAAAATAATATCCTATAGGTTATCTACCAGAAACTTGCTGGACATATAAAAGTAAATATAATTCAATTATAGAATACACCAGATATAATTATTTATTTTGAACAATATTTTTGAAGTAACATCTTCTCATTTCGACCGGAATTCTTCTGATTTCTTTCTTACTATTTTCTTGTAGTTTCTTCACAGTGTTTACTGCTCCATTATCAATCAAGATCTTCTCAATTTCAGAGCAGTTTGACATTGCAGCGATTTGAAGTGGAGTAAATCCGTTTTCATTCAAACTTTCTAGATTCGCTCCATTTTCAATTAAAACTTTCACAGTTTCTATGTTATTACTTTTTGATGCCAAATGAAGTGGTGTATACTTACAAAAATCATTTGTGTTTATATCAGCTCCATTTTTAATCAACGTCAAAGCTGGTTTCGCATTATCAAATGTTGCAGCAATGTGAAGCGATGTATTTCCATACGAATCTCTTTGTTCTACATTAGCACCATTTTTCACAAGAATATCAGCAATTTCATAGCAATTCCATCTTGCTGCGTTGTGAAGAGCTGTTTGATTCTTCTCTTTTTCGTCAAAGGAATTCACATCAATTCCATCTAAAGTTAAAATATAAGTTACTAAACCAGGAAGATCAAACCTCGGAGAATGAACTAAACTTTGATTATATTCTTTGCAATCAAGCATATTTATCAAGAAAACATGTAAATTATGGTAAACAGAACACTGATAAATATTAATTTTCAAATCAAAATTATTCTTCAAAAACATCACGAAATCCACATTATGTGATTCAATTGCAGACTTCATAGTATCATCATCAGGTTTAAAAGCTTTTAAACACTCTTTAATGATCGAAGAATTCCGACTAGTGAATCCCAAATTTTGACACTTTTTTGTGATTTTGACACCAAAGTTTGAAATGAAAAATTTAAAACAATCTTCTGATCCGTAATACGCGCACCATTCTAATAATGATCTGCCTTCAAGCTTCTCATCTAAGTTGAAAGTTTCCGAATTTGCTAATGCTGAGAGGATCCGAACATCATCATTCATAATAGAATAAAAAACAGTTTCGCTTTTGTGAACTTCTAAAATTTCTTCTGGTTCTTCATCTCTATAGTTATTGAATTTGAGGCGCCAGTTCATGTTGTAAACTTTACTTGCTAATGCTTCAATTCTACCCGAGAAATAATGTTTTTGCAGCTTAGGATTAAATTTTGATTTTAATTTCTGGAAAATATTCCAATAACCTCTTGTATAACGTTGATTATTTGAACAAGCCATGTTAATCATCCTTAATATAGTACTAACGCTTATTTTGTATTTATTTATTAAAACTTCTTCAATTTCATTATAAACATCATTTGTATCATTTGTATTTAAGCAATATAACTGATCAACCACTCTTATATATCCATTAAATTGATCTAAAAGTTCATTTAAGACTTTGATAACTTCCATTAATTTTTTTCAAAAAGTGACAACTTAATTTTTGGATCTTTACAATAAAAACTTTTTTTCGTTATGAGCGGCCAAAATAGCTTTTTAAATAATGCCAACTATAGGAGGAGATATTTCAAGACAATTTTCAAATTTCAAATTAAAAAAATTTTTCCTTGATCGTTATCCTTGGCTCGAGATTGTAAAACGTAATAATTGTAATATAATGAATAAAGAATCTATTTTGTGAAAAGGAACTTAAATTATCCATAAGTTTTGTATCGAATGGTTTCTTATTCTGATAAATAGAATTTTCAATGAGGGAATTTCAAGAGAATGAAGGAAATGTGATAATCTTATTCCATTCAACGAGTTTGTCCATTTCATTACCTGATAAATTGAAGTCTCTTGAATATTCATTCAATTTTTTGATAAAGAACCATTTTCAATTTGTCCAGAAAAGTTGGTAAATTAGGTTTCTAATTATAAAACGATATAAAGCAGTTTAATCACTAACAACGCCCACAATTAAGATCTTTATTATTTTTAATAGACATATTCGTAAAACTCCGTAGGCTATCAATTTGAAAACATCAAGGTTTGATTAAAGGAATTCATGTTTATGCTTTTATTCCATATAACAAAACATTACCAACAAAGAAATGAATGATTCATATTGTTATCTCAAAATTTCATATTATCACAAAAATAAGAATATTATTTAGCTTATCAGACAAAAGATATGTTTCTAAGTGTAATCATGATTATTAAAAAAAGTGAGGTTTTCATTTATTTGTTTTTTCAATGCATGATAATAGAATAATCGTTATTTTATGCTCGAATATATAATTACATATTCTGTACAGATCATTTTCATCCCTCTTTCTTCGCATATTCAAAATTTTTGTGACGAAATTTTGAAATAACATTGAAAATAATCCATTGAATTTATTCAAAGAATATTGAGAAGAATATCGCGGTTTTGGTTTATTTCATGGCCACTTAATAACAACATTGTATTAATATTAATTTTTATTACATTCTCCTGAAATCTTTCTCAAAAAATATTATTCTCATTGTGTTTTCCACATTCAATGAACATTCAATTCAATAGAATTCTATTTCACTTGAATGGAAGAAGTCCAGTCAACCACGGCTATTACATCAACAAGTTTTGCCGCTTCCAGTGTTAGCAAGTATGAAGGACTTATTGATATTTCACTTTCAGATCAAATCATTGATGAGAGGTTATCGATTTTGTAATTTAATCGTCGTCGTTATCGATTTTGTAATTTAATCGTTATCGTCTTTTTCTAAACGTGCATTTTTACATTAAAAGCAATGCAACTCCAAAATTAATTGGTATTTAGACTTTAATTAGGTGCAGGCAAACGAAATGCAGTCCAAATATTTTGGTGATATATGAATTACATAAATTTAGGGAAATTGAAATTATATCTTTTTAAATTTTTAGGAAAACAGATTTATAGAATTGTTTAAGTCATCAAAATAATGCAGACTTAGGTCAAATTTTCCAAATTTAATCATTTGCAAGACTTTCAAGCGACTTCAAAATGTCGAAATATAAGTCCAAAAATAAAATTACGATTACAGTCTATCCTCAATTATTATCACGCTAATTATTGAGTGACCCATGCGTTCGTATGTATGTAATACCTTTTAAAAAGGAGATGAGAGAGATAAACTACATTTACAATTTAAATCTGATGTATTTACTTGTTACATTTACAAATGTAAATGTTTCTCGTAATGTTTACATTTTGTAAGTATAACGAATAAAAATGACGCACTTTTTTTACAAAGTCAAATTATGCGATACAACTTTACTTGTTACATTTACAAATGTAAATGTTTCTCGTAATGTTTACATTTTGTAAGTATAACGAATAAAAATGACGCACTTTTTTTACAAAGTCAAATTATGCGATACAACTTTACTTGTTACATTTACAAATGTAAATGTTTCTCGTAATGTTTACATTTTGTAAGTATAACGAATAAAAATGACGCACTTTTTTTACAAAGTCAAATTATTGTTCGATTTTTGCAGCTTGTAAACGATTAATTGTATAAAGCAATTGATATTAGCACGACATAACTGAATAATTCTAATATTGAAATCAAAAGCCCTTAAAATATCATGATATTTTAATTTCATAACAAATCTAGGAGACTATTTGATGAAAACATATCCGATGTGGGTTTTGTTGTATTATATAACTTGTTATTGACTTCTTAGCTTTCCAAATTTTTTTCGATAATGAGAAAACGAATGAAAAATCAACATTTGGTCCATTTAAAATTTGATTTGTTTACATTTTTTTACTTTTTGAATTTCAATTTATATTTTCCTCAAGAAATACTTTAGATTTTAAGAAACTAAATCATATAATCTACTAAGAAAATAATTAAATCCTATAATACTCAAAGTTTTGTGATAAATCCGATCTTTTTATTTTACTTTTATTATGTTTTTGCAAACTTAAGGTCCTCACTAGGTAAAACATAATACTCTTTGAAGTTAAGTATTTTCACAAAGAGAGGACCAACAATATCAAAAGATTGAATAAAGATTTGTATTATTTTATTTATTTTTAAGAACATGTTTAAGAACCCTCATTATCTCCACGAATATTGCATATTTTTCTATTCTAAGACCACCAAAATTACGTTTTAATATAGAAAATAACATATTTATGTGATGCTAAAGTCGAAGTCCTTAAAAAATTAGTGTTAAACATCCATTTATTACAAAATTGAAGAAATATGTGTAAAATATAACACATAATTTAGTTATTTGACTCAATTATTAGTTATGCAATATCAGTTGTGTTTATATCTGCGTTATATCACGAGATGCATTGAATTGTCATAATTAGATCACCGTAAATCTTATCAATTTTTGATACACTTCCGGTGAAAAATTTAGCCTTGACAATAGGATGAAATATATTGTAAAAAAATAAATTTTAGATTTTGAAGTTTATCATTTCGAATAATGAAATATAAACAATACAAATTTTCTGTCGTTTCGAGATTCATAAATGATCGGAATCTTCCAGCTCCGACTGAAATAGAACTTTCGGAAGCTAATTTTCAAGACGAATCTTCTTTATTAAGATTTATTTTGGATATCCCTAAGGATTTAAGCTTTTCCATTGACTCATATTCAATGAATCTTTTGATACATTTCATTATCGAGCAATCTACACAAAATGAAACAATATTAAAATTCACAATTCAAAATATCACTTCTTCGAATATCTTTCAAATAGATTTGATACTACTGGAAAATTTATTCGAATATTTATCGCATTATATTAACCAGATTTTTTTTCATTTTTTCATTAAAATTAATTCATTTTAAAGCTTTAGATAACATACAATACCTTTATTTATCAACATTTTCCGATCAATATGATGAGATATTACGTTTCATAAGCAGCAGTGACAATTCTCTCTATATCATCGATACATTTATTGCTTTGATTAAAAACAATATTCTTGACGTTGAATTCTTCCAAAACGCAGTTTTACTCAAGAAAGAAATTTTTTCTAGTATTATTGAGTACGAAAATCAATATTCAACTTATGCAATTGCAAATTTCTTTACAAAATTATTAAAATATTACCCAGGATATGCAACTGCTCTTCCATGTTCGGATATACTAATATCAAATTATTTCAACTTTTTTAATGACGTGAATTCAATTATAAATAACGAAGATTTTGTTTATCTTCTCAAATTTATAGTTTTATTTTATAAAGCAGTCGATATAACATCTGAGATGGCTTTAGAATTCATAAAAACACTTGAAATTCTGCGAAGTCTTTCTCCTCACTATTCATTTACAGAGTATGTAGTTCAGGGGTATTATTGTGTACTTCCTCTTATACCCATGCAAATTTCATCTACCGATTTTTTAAATTCACATGAATTTTTAATTAATTATGCAATTGAGAATTCAAATCTTCACAAATATTTGAAATTATATTCCAGATGTTTCCGCAGATTTGATAGCGATGAAATATTCAAAAATGTTTTTCATATCTTAAACCTTGTAGAAGTTACAACAGAATATTTATCAGAAAATCAGGATCTTTCTGAGAAACAGATCTTTATTTGCAACGATATCCTAACGAGGGTTAATTTAATTTTTATTTTTTATTTCAAGTTTGAGTAAACTTTCAAGATAATCTATATAAGCCTTTTGATGTTCTTCATCTAGATTCTTGTTTAATATGTGATGAATTTGATTTTTTTTGAAAATTCAAGATAAAATTCTTTTTTATCTTGATCAACAACATGAACAATTCGAGTACAGCGTAACATTTCATCAATATTTTCTGTTTTCTTCGTTTCTAGATATTTTTCAAATATTTCTTGCGGAATCTCATTTTGATATACCCATTTATTTTTTTCCGGATGCTGATCTTTGTACTTAACGAAATATTGCTTGACTATTCGCTCAGAAACAACATATTCGATCTCTTTTCTCTTTCTCATTGAATATTTGTGACACTTTTGAATTCAATCAAATCAAAAATATTTGAAATTGCTAGAATTTTTTTCTTTCTCATGAATATTTGAAATGACTCAAAAGGAAAACTCGTTCGATTCAATTCAATTTTGAATCAGAATTTTTTAAGGACCAATAAATCAAATTATGTTAAGAAAATCTTTTTTTAACTCAGAGTATCAAAAGTACGTTAAACCTTCAATTTTATCTCATGTCGGAAAGCGAACCGACAATAGTGGAAGAGAATCAAACTATATCAGTATCCATCCAAGCTATTGTTGATGAAGAAAAAGGAGATGGAGCTGATATGCTGGATTTAATTCAAAATGAATTGAATTCCCGTAAAAAATTGAAATATAGAATGGAAATACCTGAAAATCCCCCAATTCCAATTCTCAAGGAACGATATAGCAAATTAAAATTTACAGATCCTACAGAAGCTGCTATATTTATTGCAAAAGATTCATATAATTCTTTTTATCCATTAAATTTTGAGCAAGGAAAAAAGTTTCGTTGTCCTAACTGCCAATTTTGCATGGAGCTTGTAAAGACTCATGAAAATGGTCAACTTTTCTTCATTCCAGTAATTAAACACGAGCATAGAGCAAAGCAATGCAAGCCGAGTAACAATATACCAAAAATTCTTAAGTTGCAAGCAGGAAAAAAAGTCTATGAATTAGCAAATTCTGATAATGTTCCTCAATGCAAAGAAATTTTTGCAAAAGAATTGAATATTCCCAATGCAACTTATACGATGTTCCATAATATAGTAAATAAACTTAAAGGAACCACAAAAGGGGATAGAATTCAATCTTACAATTATTTCTCAACAATTTTTTCAATCATAAACAAAATCGAACAAGGATTCTGCGAAATGATTTTAGTTAAAGAAGTTAACAATGAAATTGAATTGCATACATTTAAGAAAGGTGATGAATTACCTGAAAATTCAAAAGACTTTCAAATTTATTCATTTATTGTAGTGATGCGAAAAATTCCCAAACATATGGGGTTTCTCATATCCCGTCCCCTATCGTTTCCCCAATTCAATTTTTTTTGGAATTTTATTTTTTTTCCCGCCCATTTGAATTAAAAATGGGCGATTTTCGTTAATGTGATTGAAATATCATAAAATTAATACGTATTTTAGCTAATAATTCTATTTTTATACAATATTCTCTCATTAAATCAACATTTTTTTCTAATTTTAATTTTTAATTTTTAATTTCTTCATAATTTTAGCGATTTATGCTCATTATTAGCAAATAAATAATATATATAATATACTTATTTCATTTTATTCAGATAGGTCTTTGGGATTGGGATACCTTGTCCAAATTCAGAGGAAGTTTGAGAGGTTGGGATGGGGTAGCCCATATTCAATTATCCCAAGTGTACTCCACGAATTTAAAATTATATTATATTATTGATGACATATCTAAATTTATAGATAAAAATTTCAATGCGTACACAATTTTTTTTGAGAAAATTCTTTTTTTTTACTTATTTTCATTCATAAAAGCTCACGTGAACTTAATTAACAACTGAGACATTTCCTATGAAATCATTTAATGCCGTCAAAATAGACATGTCTAAGCTGTTTTGAGTGACTTTCGCTCGATGTCTGATGCAATATCAGACATCGAGCGAAAGTCTCTCATATTGGCAACACATCCATACGATCAATACTATAGCTACGAATTACAAGCCTGTTTGGGCAATTTTTGGCCGAGTTCTGATTTTTCATTAGATCTCGAGCGAAAGTCTCTCAAATTGGCTGCCAGTTCATAAGAGTGAAACTCTAGCTACGAATTAGAAGCTTGCTTGAGAGACTCTCGCTCGCGTTGGGATCTGCATCAGAACTCGAGCGAAAGCCTCTCAAAGTGGTAAGACCTGCTCATTGTTGAGCAGGAGCTGCGTAATGTGTTCGAGCAGAGTGAGGCTCTTCTAAGATCTTCCTTGTGATTGGAAGAAATTAGAAGAGTCTCACTCTACTATTTTGTAATTGTATGCCCCGGCCTTTGAGTGACCAGGGCTGCGTAATGTGTTCGAGTAGAGTGAGGCTCTTCTAAGATCTTCCTTGTGATTGGAAGAAATTAGAAGAGTCTCACTCTACTATTTTGTAATTGTATGCCCTGGCCTTTGAGTGACCAGGGCTGCGTAATGAATTCGAGTAGGATTGTACAATAGCTCGGCAAACGCCGAGCAAATTGATATAAACGTACATCCCACAAAAAATGGATTGTCAAAATTTATCCCAAATTTTACAAAACCGCAGCGGTTATGACATCCCAGGGCTAAAAAAATTCGGAAACTCGCATCTCTATTTATTGTAATTCCTCCAATAACTCATTTTTACATGCAAACACAAGCTTTTTGCGGAATAATTCAAATTGATGGAACGTTTTTATTTTGTATTAAAAAAGGAAACTTACTCATTATTGGTACACCTGCACCAAATAATAGACTTATCCCTATTGCATTTGCATGGTCTGTTAGTGAAAATACGATAACAATTAAGGATATGCTCACTAAATTGAAATCTTTTATTCCACCAAGCAGATTCAAGAATATTTATTCCGATCAAGGTCCGGCAATTATAGCTGCTGTTAGAGAATCAGGCTTTTCTTGCGATCATAAATTTTGCTTACGTCATTTTGCAACAAAAAGGGAATACATCAATGTCTATTCCGAAATTGTTGAAGTCGCTTACGCAGACCATCCTCAAAAACGAATTGACTTGATTAAAAAGTTAGAAACTCGTTTACAAGAGGAATATCCAAACCGCGAAAATAATCAGGATCTCTTTAAGTACTTAGATAGTATTAACCCATTTGAAGGATTCGCTGACTACACCGCTGGCATACTCACAACATCTCTTATTGAATCCCTTAATGCCGAAATTAAAGATAAATGGGATACATATGAACCCGCCGAACTAATTATCCGTCTCATTGAACATGAATTCAATCTTGTTAAAAATGTTTTAACAGGTGATTTTAAATCAGATAATATTATCAAAAATCTAAATGAAACTTTGAAACATTCAGATATGTTTAGCTCGGTATTATATGATCCAATTCAAGAATTATATTATGCAACTTTTGGTCGCTATACATATTGCGTAAAAATTATGTCAGATTCACAATATTCATGCACATGTAAGCACATCGAATTATACGGATTACCTTGTATTCATGTAATCGCCGTATTGAATCACTTTTCGAACAAAAATCTTCTTAAAAATTTGAATGATGCAGTTCATGCTCGCTTCAAATGTTCAGAGTTTATGACTCCTGTGGAAGATTTAATGAAATTTTATGTTGACCAAGCATCTTTAAAAATTCCCGGAATAAATTTCAACCTGGGAGAGATTGAAAAATTAAGGGGAAAAAGGACTAGGATTAAAGCATTTTACGAAAAGTGATGCTGTGTTGTTAGTTATTTATTTACTTTTTTTAATATTTTTTAAAAAAATAAAAGAAAATTCAAATAATTTTGTATCTCCCATGATATATCGACCCACGAGTACTAATGTGGCTATAATTAGAGATTGCAACTCTATTATGATCATAGTCCGGTGATATACAATAAGATTCAAATTTTGAAAGAATTAAATTAATAAAATCCCGGTGAAAAAAATAAAAACAGCTTCTAAAAGTATAGTTATCTTAAAATACGAACTTTAACACAAGTTTTTTGATCCAATAGAAAATTGAATTCTTTGAATAAATAAAATATTTTATGTATTAACATATTAAATTTCCTAATTATTTTTTCTTCTTGGGAAAATTTTTGAATTCGAATAGAAAATTCAATAAATTGAAATTGGGTTGAAAGAATTCTCCATATTAACTTGTCATATATTTCAGATCATATAAATTAAGTTAATTAAATTTTTTAAAAACCTTAATAGGATAAAAAAAAGAATTTACACTCTCTCACTTTGAAAACGTAGAAAATGCCAATCTATTGGTATACATTTTAGTTTTGTTAAGTTTACAAAACGATTACTCTAGATTTTAAAGAGGGGGGCACAAACTTGCCCAGTGAGGTGAAGTGAAAAGTGATAGGTTTACATGTCAGAAATGTAAAGTGTCATATTTGAAACAAAGAATGGATTAATTTATTATTATATGACAGAGAGATTTGGTAAGTTACTATCAAATTTGTAAGTAAGGGAAAAAAAGTAAGAAAGAAAAAATTTTTAAAAAATAAAAAGCCATTCGCTTCGCTCGCGGTTGACAAAAAGAACAAATTCGAAAAATAATTGTATGAAATTACGAAACTAAGCGCAGCGCTCGCGGCTTAAGAAAAGAACAGATTCGAAAAAAGATTGTATGAAATTACGAAACTAAGCCACTCGCTTCGCTCGCGGCTTAAGTAAACACATATTTCAGATTATCGATACTAAATTTTTTTATTTTATTACATTTTTTTAAAGCTTCTTAACTTAAATCATGGAATGTCTCAAAGACAAAAGTAGCATACAGCATGTAAAGCTAAAGAAAGATAATCATAATTAATACCTTAATTTTTAATATTACGCATTTTTAGGTGCAAAATTTAAAAACATTCTAATACAATAGAGCAGTTTCCAAAAGTAGCATACAGCATGCAAAGCTAAAGAAAGATAATCATAATTAATACCTTTAAAGTTTAAAATCTTGATTTTTTTTAAAATCAAATATTTATAACTTTAATACATACAGCTTAAACCTTATACTTGTTTTCTCTTGTGAGAAAGCAATCTTACAAAGCTAACAATCCTAAAAAATAAAGAATTAAAATTTAATAATTTAATCTAAAATTAAAATCAAAATTAAATAAAATGAGTTCTTTGTAATAATACTTTCAAGGTAGGATATATTTTAGTGGGATCTATTGAGTCATCACTAACAGCATTGAGCAATCTATTGAGCATTGAAATACTCTCGATTTTTCTTTGTCTTTTTACATCAATTTCTGCGTTAGTTGCTTTTTCCATGATCCTAATGACACGGTCATCTGCTGGATTTTGATCAATTTTGAGTTTGATAACGAAAGATGGTATCACTTTTGTATAAATTTCTATAATAACATCATCAATTCTGAGATTTTTTCGATCAGGAAAATAGTCATGTTTGAGTGTTCTAAAATGAGCTTCGGCAATATTGTTAGTTGCGTCGCCTTCACGCCTGTCACGAGCAATCCATCTTGATATGTTGTAACGCCATTGTCTGTTAAAGTATTGAGATGCTGTTGGATCTGTGTCGAGCAACTCCAGAACTTGATCATAGGCAGCATTTGCTTCTTCCTCATGTTCTGCATCTAATTTGAAGACTAAATCCTTCATCAAATTATAGAATTGTTCAAATTTTTCTTGAGAAGAAAACTTATTTGATTTGCGAAGAATTGCACGAAGAACATGTACTCCGCACCAAAGTATTTGAGCTTGTGGAATGCTTTCTTCTATTGCTTGAGCTATCTGTGGAGCACAGTCCATGCTAATGTATTCTGGCTCAATTGTTACCCATCTGAGATAGGCGCACACGCAAACTTGAATGTTTTGATAAGTGTCTGGTTGACAAAAGAAATATAAAAAAGGGAAAATGTGAAAATCTTTGATTTTGCCAGTAAATGCATACAATGGAATGTTTGATCGCAACAATTTATAGGTGCTGTCTATATGAAATGTCTTGATACTATGCGCATAAGCTTTGCCTTCAAAAGGCGCGTAATAGAAACACATATTATTGTCTGAGACTTCAAATGCAATGAGATCATCTGGAGATTCTTCTTGTACTGTCTGAACAAAGATTTGCAATGACACAACATCGTCAGGAGAATATCTAGTTTGAAGAGCATGTATTCTCTCTGCAAATCGTTTGATTGCACGTGGTTTTTGAGCGTACATCTCTGGAATGGACGGACCTGTAAGAGGAATTTCAAGATCTTTGAATGCATTTAGCTGTGCTATCGCTCTTTGATTGTCATCTGTTTGGAAGTAATGTTCTAAATATTTGCGATAAAAGACAGACGAATATTGACTTTTGTCATTTGGGGCGGAATGATCATGTTCTTCAACTATTTTGATTAGTTTGTATTTATTTTGATCCAAGATTGCAACATTAAAATGTGCAGGACATTTTGGATATTTGCAGTGGAATGAAATCTGAGATCTTTCTTTCCTGACACGTTCACCATATCCATACTGTGCTTGTATTTCTTGTTTAACTCCAAATTTACAAAGATCCATAACAGTAAAGATAGTTTCTTCTTCTAATTCCATTTGAAATTGAAATGAAAATTAAAAATTCAGAAATTTGAATAGATTTGGTCTGTAATTAAATGAGAATAGCAGTTTGTTCGTCATTGTTTGAGGCAAGAGTATTATAGGAATATTATATGATGGATTTGAGTTGCATATAAAGAGTGCAAAAGGATAAAGAGAGAAATTTTGTTAGATTAAATTATTAAATTTTAATTCTTTATTTTTTAGGATTGTTAGCTTTGTAAGATTGCTTTCTCACAAGAGAAAACAAGTATAAGGTTTAAGCTGTATGTATTAAAGTTATAAATATTTGATTTTAAAAAAAATCAAGATTTTAAACTTTAAAGGTATTAATTATGATTATCTTTCTTTAGCTTTGCATGCTGTATGCTACTTTTGGAAACTGCTCTATTGTATTAGAATGTTTTTAAATTTTGCACCTAAAAATGCGTAATATTAAAAATTAAGGTATTAATTATGATTATCTTTCTTTAGCTTTGCATGCTGTATGCTACTTTTGGAAACTGCTCTATTGTATTAGAATGTTTTTAAATTTTGCACCTAAAAATGCGTAATATTAAAAATTAAGGTATTAATTATGATTATCTTTCTTTAGCTTTACATGCTGTATGCTACTTTTGTCTTTGAGACATTCCATGATTTAAGTTAAGAAGCTTTAAAAAAATGCAAAAAAAATTGAATACTTTACTGGCTGGGCAAATTTGTCGCCGCCCCGATTTTAAAGATTTATCAAGAATTTAGAGAATATCCTTCTCAAAACAACTTTAATAGCGAAGGATTAGTATTGAATCGGATTTGTAACATAATTATAGTACATTACAATACAATTTCTCCGACTTTTAAATATTTTTGAAATATTTACAAAATATGCTCTTTCTATCATCGATACTTTAATACAGAGCAAATTTAGTAAATGTCATCACGTTATTTTTTCATAAATCGTTTTCGAACTTTTGAAATATTTATTTTAAACCAGTTTTCTACATTTAATATGTGAATTATATCAAAAGTAGATGGGCGATACTTGTAAATCTATTTAAACTATTAGTTTGCTATTATTGAAGAACTTTATAATTTTTTTTTCTTATGTATGGAATTAAAGATAATTTTGCCGATTCCAACTGGTTTTTCTATATGAGTTAAATATGCCAAGTGAAATTGGACTTGCCAATATTGTAAATTGAAGTATGGACTATATATCGATTTTCATTGATTGATGAATAACTCGGAGTAATGTAATTGTTGATAATGAAAAATAGTTTTCAATTGCTGGTAAGGGCCAATGTATGTTCAATAGCTCCGAAAGCAAAAAATGCACGTTTAAAAAAAGACGATAACGATTAAATTACAAAATCGATAACGACGACGATTAAATTACAAAATCAATAATGACCCATCATTGATAGCCTGATCCAACTTTTTAATTATTTTGATATTTATGCTCCGAATCTACATGTTATATACAGTATTGTTACAATATTCAGATTCTTTCAACTTCTTGGTGGAGCTTTCATGGCAGCAAATTTAGATTCTTTCATTCCTGGAACTTTGACCTATAATGCAATGTCAATTATTACAGTCTTCTTCCATCTTGTTCCATTGCAATATAGACGTGGCAGTGGACATTGGATTTTGCTAGCGGTCAACGGTTTACTCTTAATATTTTTAATTTACATTATAATTACGGCTTTTATTTACAAGAAGACTTCTAAAGTACCCAAAGCTTCAACATATATTCTGAGCATTTTCATGGCTATAGGACCATACTTATTAGTTCCAATATCTGCTCAGTATGCCGGTCAAATGATTTCTGGAAATATCTCAGGTACATTGGATGTAAATGCAGGAAATGTAATAGCGTATGTTTCTTCATTTATTGCAATTGCACTCTGGGCGTGGATTATTATAAGAGCCTATTCTATTGCACTTGTTTTTAGACCATGCTCCTTTGCTTCTGTTGAAGGTTCCCCACAAGCAAAGCTGCTTATTACAACAACTGTAGTAACATTTGCTTCTGCGCTTACAACAAACTTAACAACATATCCATCAGCTGCAATGATGTTTGTCTCAATTGTTCTTTACTTGTACTGCATATCAACATGCTTCAACTGCTCTTCATTCATCAAAAGATCTCATACAATTTTGGTTCTTGGTGGTTGTGTTCTGAGTATTTTGTTATGCATAGGTAACCTTTATACAATATTTGCCAGGTCACCATGGACTGAAGTTTTCTTTATTCTATTTCTTGCCGCAGCAATTGTTTCATTCGTTTCAACTTTCTTCTATGTTAAAACAAGAATGGTCAGAGAGTTAAAAATATTGGACGAAATTGACGAAACTCAAGATATTTCTTTCCTCAAAAGAGAAACAAAATTTAAACAGCTATTATCAACTGGATTCCTTTACGCACATCCTGTATGCACGAGTTTTAGAATTTTCAAACTTGCAGTTGCTCAATGGCCTGACGCCCTTGATGTTTGGGCAATTTATGCAAAATTCTTAGCGATTTATCCAGAACAAACATTAACATTAGCTTTTGTTGCTCAAACAGTTTCAACAATGAATACAAAGAATAAGGCATTACAATCAATAATTTTAACAACTTCTGGCTATGTCATCAAGACAAGAGAAACAAAGTTTACACAACAGTTAAAGGTGAAAATCTCAAAGCTTGCCAAGTTATTCAATAAAACAAAATCAAGACTGAGGAACATTTGGGATTTAACGCTCCAAGGTAATATCAATGAAATGAACATAGCTATTAGAAGTACAAAATTATCTGTTAATGAATGCGAAGTAGAAATGAATCACTTATTAATGCAATATCCAAATAACAGATTTGTTGCAAGACAAAATACTTTATTCCTCAGTGAAATCAAAGGCGATCCAATTGCAGCTAAAGCTTCATTAGAAAACTTAACAAAACTACAGAGAGGATTACAAATATCTGAAGATACAATTCATCAGTTAGGTATAGATTCATTTCCTCATATTCCAGAAACATGCACTGAAATTGATGGTCAAACAAAGACTATTGCAGAAGCAGAATCAATGGGAGTTGATGAATTATTAGTGGATGATAATATTAATTCCAATAACATGGAAGCAATGCAATCAATTGCAAAACAAATCGATAACCATATTATACCAGCTATTTCCTACATTTACAAATCTACACTGATTGCTTATATTTTCCTCATTTTAATACCAATGATTGTCATGATTGTTGCTTTCCACTTTTTTGCTATTGAAATTGAAAAGCCACTTGATTTCATGCAAGGCATTGCAAGAACAAGAAGTATTGTATCAATGCTAACAGGATTCACAGGAAGATATTTATTCCAAATGCTAGACGATCCAAAGAATACTTCAAGGAAAATCGAATCACCTATTGATTTTCCTTGAATTGGTGGAACAGCAGAATCAGTCCAAGTTTTGCGTTACATTGCATCATGTGTCACATCTACAAATAAAGCTATGGCAGAAGTTCGATCATATAAACCAGGTAACTCATATATTGAAAAAGTTAGAGATTTATTGTTTACTGATACAATTAACTTTTCCTATTATATAAACAACACCTATGCAGATTCATCAATGACAACAGTAGCAGATGTTTCATATATGGTTGCAAATCATGTAGGAAAATTGTGTGATTTGACAGAGATTACTCCAGAAGTTGCAAGCGGACCAGACTCTTTGACTTCAAGAAATAACAATCAATTATCATTAGTAGCAATGAACAATGCTTTACTAACAATGATTGAATATTTGAAATTTATTAATACAACAAATCAAAGAATCTTTCTTGTTGTAATCATTGTCTTGATTATAGTCAATATTATCAGCTATTTTCTAATCTATTACTTGCAATTCTCAAGGTTGCAAATAAACAGAAATCAAATTTTGCTCACATTGACAACTTTACCCAAAACTGTTATTTCATCTGTTTCTGCAAGTCTTAACAAACTCAAAGATGGACATGAAAGAACATCTTCAATGATGGACTCATCAGCTGATGAAGAAACTAATAGACAAGAAGATAGTATCATTAAATTATTTGCATCAGTATCTGACGGATCTGCAAATACATCAGTTGAAGTTTCAAACTTCTTGTGCTTCTTAGTTGTAATTGTTTTAGGTTGCATTATGTATTATGTTTCAATGAATGCTTATAGAAAAGGAATGAAGAATCTCCTTTATAATTCACATCATATTAATTATTTATATGGTTCAGTTTCATACATTTATTCCGTAATGGCAAGCATTTTCAAAATTGCTTTAGCCAAATATGATGATGTTTTTGCAAACTCAATAATTTCTCTTGATGATGAAATCCAAAATATTGGAGATAGAATTCCGTTTCTTGTCTCTTACTTTCAAATGATTAGATTAGGTGGAAGTGATGTTAGAGAAGTTCCATTCCCTGAAATGGAAAAGTACATCAATATTGCATCAAATGAATTAACATGCACCAATATAACACATCCTCCATCTACCATTCTTGATAGCACACATTGTTTATCAGCTGCTCAACAACTATATGTTGCCACTACATATATGAATAAGTACTACGGATTAATGAAAAAAGACAATCCAATTTACCATGATCCAACATCAACAACATTTATGCAATTATGGCAAATTGGCCCCGTTGAACTTTATATTACTTTCTTTAATCCAGCAGAAAATGAAATCATTCCGATTATTACAAATAATATTGATACCCAAGGCACCAAACAAATTATTTATTCAGTTATTATCGTTGTTATTACATTTCTTTTCTCAATAAGAATTATTATTGGTGCAAAGAATGAGAATGATTTATTGAAGTTCACTGTCAAGTTGTTCATGAGATGTCCTCCAACAACAGTGTTAAATAATAGCAGAATTATGGAGTTGCTCGCAGGAAATTACAATAGTATGGTTGATGAACAGTCAGACAAACACCTTTGGTTCACAAATGAAGTTGTCAACAAGCTTAATGATGTTGTCATTGTTTGTCAGGAAGAAACTGGAAAGATCATCACAGTCAATTCCGCATTCGAAGAATTGTTCGGAATCAAGCAATCAGAAATCGAGAACACAAGTGTCAAAGACTTCTTTGTTGAGTCACGATTCAGCTGTAGTGAGAGTCTTGATAAGATCTTCACTAACACACTTAACGTCATCTTCAAGAAGTCAGATAGCGATAAAGTCTATCTTGAGTTTTCATCAACAAGTGTCAGTGGTCGTAAGATCTTCTCAGGCAGAGACCAGACACAGAACGTCATGCACGAGAAGCTTATTGCTGACGAGAAGAAGAAGTCCGACAGCATGCTTGCATCTATCCTTCCACCAATGCTTGTTCCACGTGTTCAAGCAGGCGAGAAGAACATCTCATTCAGTGTTCAATCAGCAACAGTCCTCTTCTTAGATGTTGTTGAGTTCACACCATGGTGTGGCAGCCACGATGCACAGTATGTCATGCGTATGTCATGCATATGTTGAACATCATGTTCAAAGAGTTCGATGCTATCACAAATGCACACAAGACAATGACAAAGATCAAGTGCATTGGTGACTGCCACATGGCAGCTGGTGGCATCTTCGATGAAGTTAACCAACCAGCCGTTCATGCGAAAGAAGTTGTTGACTTCGGCACATTAGTCATCAAGAAACTTCTTGACATCGATGAGAGTGAGAACGAGAAACTTCGTATCCGTGTTGGTATCAACACCGGTGGTCATATTGTTGCTGGTGTTATTGGCACAGAGAAACCAACATTTGAAATCCTTGGTCCAGCTATCAACATCGCACACGAGATGGAGAACAAAGGTGTTCCAATGAAAGTTCACATTTCACGTCCAGTCTATGAACTTATCTATGGTCAACAGTTCGACATCAAAGAACGTGGTGAAATCGACGTCAAAGGCGGCAAGATGTTCACATATCTTGTCGAACCATAACTTTATTTTTATCTTTTATTTCTTTTATATGTTTGTAAATTTGTTTTTATGAAATACTTGACTTTTTAAATATTACCTTCTATCTGAGTATACGTAGAATAGAAACAAGCAATTTCTCATGTAATTAGTTGAATTCCGAGTTTTGGAATTGAAATTTTCTGATTCTTGAAAATTCTTCTATTTTATTTAATTCTCAAACTTACATTTACGAAAAGTTGATTGAATACATGCAAATTCAGAGCAAATACCAAAATTGACACTTTCGAATCTGTGAAAATTATATATAACATTAAAATAGTAGAAATTAGCATTTATTCTCTTTTACTTAAATGTATCTCCTAGAAATTGCTTAATTATGCGTGATTATAATTGAATGAAAAAATATGAGGTAAATATAAAAAATTAGACATTGTACACATCTTATGCCATTGTTCTATTTGAAACAATGAAATAAATCAAAATGAATCAAATAACAATCATTTATTATTGTTTCCTAATTTCTCAGAATTTTGTAAAAAATTTGATGAGAAAAACGGAATAATAAATAAATACAGTTTATTTATATGATTAAGTATAATTAATATTAAAATACTTGTAATAATTACCAAACCAAGTGAAATATCAAATACAAGCGCCCAAAAGCGAGATCAGAAATGAATTAAAAAAAGTATGTCATAAAAATGATTTACCATAGTATTTATCAACAACACGTATGCTGAAATATTTTAACATCAAAATTTCATGAAATTATCGTGTCGAAGGTTCAACTATTGAAAATTATTTTTATCGGATGTGATATCTTCAAAATATCGAATATAAGACGATTAAACAAAATTGCTTTTCATGTAAAATTGAGTACATACTGTTTTCTAATTTTGATAGGATATCAATCAATTTTCTTGACAGTAATAGAAAAGAGTTTCATCAGTAATTACTCAAGGAATAAATATTTTACAAAAAAAGGCAAGGGTGTAAAATTTATAATCAATTGAATTTTTATTTCGTATTTCATCGATCATATGTAAGATATATTCCATAATTATTTAATTTTTCTTATTTCAGAAAAAAAATTGTGAGCACAAAACACACGTATTAATTAATAATGAATACAGGACAACAGTTCATTATTATTATAGAACTTACTTTCATATTCTGAAAGTGTCAATAAATTCATATGAAATTTATTTTAACCATTAATATTTGCTTACATTCTATTATCATGTATTTCATTCACAATAATAACGACGATATGGGGAGATATTCTATCAAATGTTGTTCGTTTTTTTTTCAATGGATCTTTTGAAAGATTATTCAATTGGGAATTTATTTTTCTGAAGCATTACTGATACAAAGTAATGTATTAACGGAGTATAATAAAAATTACTACATAAGTTATCTGCACGTAAAGATTTGAGTGTTTCTGAAAAATTCGTCAAAATAGTATTTATTTTTTTCCATGGATACATTTGTCCCCCAGTTACTTACTAGCCAAGGCTATGATATGAAGTACGAAATCGGACATGGAACATTCTCCCATTGCTATGTATGCCATAACCAAAAATATGGCATTCCGTTTGTTTGCAAAAAGTCTTTGAAATGACATTTCATCAGGAATATCTTGTATTATCAAAAATGATGCATCCCAACATCATTAACATTTATGACTACTTCAATGAAAAAAATTATTATGTACTTGTTCTCAAATTCTGCGAAAATGGAAGTCTTGAAGATTATTTGATACAAAATGAAAACATCCCAGAGTCAAAGCTTATGGAATGGGCCAAACAGATTTTAGGCGCCCTTAGCTACATGCACCAGAACAATGCTAGTCACCATGACATCAAGCCATCAAATATATTGATCGACTCATTTGGAAGAATTAAACTAGCTGATTTCGGAATCGCCCAATTTCTCCAGAAGAACGAAAAATCAATGATATACGGAGGCTCCGTTGCATTCATAGCCCCAGAACAATTCCTGAAAGTCCCATATGATTCATTCAAGGCAGACGCTTGGTCATTCGGAGTCACATTATACATGTTAAGATTCCACGGCAGACTCCCATTCTTCGGAAACAACATGATGGAGATACATAGCCTCATGTCCAAGGGATTCTTCGAAATACCTGACCACTGCTCATATGAATTTAGACAGATTTTTAACCATGCACTTGATCCAAATGTCGAAACAAGATGGTCGGTTTCCCAGTTACTAGACTATGTATGCAAGACTTCAAGTGGTGTTACAAAACACTGCGTTCCAAACCGTTCAAGATCTCTAATCAACGGTAGATCTTCATCTCTTCCAAGATATGAAGGACATCTTAATATGATGCCAAGCATTATTGTTCCTAGTATTCCAAGAAAGATTCCAAGATTATTATCTAATTAAGTTTATTTGTTATTTTTATAATTCGGTTTTGATTGTTTTTAAACCTTTTCATGTAGTTGTATCATGCTATTTAATTAATTATGCTTTTTAATTAATTTATTGAAAATAATCGGCGAATTCGCATTTAAAATTTGCAGATTTTAGTAGTTTTAATAGAAGATTATTCATACAGTATGTACTGCTCTCATAATAACTCATTAATTTGAGAAATTAAAGTATTCAAAATATACGAAATGCAATTTTTACCAGCATACGACAGATATATAACCAATTCAATCTTGGAAAGCTATCTTTGTGTCTAACGCAAAAATTAATCAGGTATGAAAAGACTATAGTGATATAATTTAGAAATCTTGGTAAAAAAAATTCATGGAAAAATAAAATTTACATTAAACATTAACATGGTAATGCATTAAATAATTAAAAGCTTGATACATGCCTAATTCTTGTGTGTGTTTTTGATTTCATCAAAGGTGTTGTAAACATAGCCGATGAAATCGGCCTTATTAGCTTTTTCCTTCCAGTTTCAATCTTTTCGCGGAGCATATTAACAAGATCTTCTGCAGATGGTCTTTTTGTAGGATCTATCTGGAGACAAAGAGAAACAATCCTTCGTAGGAGCAAATCATTGATTTGGAATTCGTCGAAAATAGCATTCTGGATTGATTTAATCATTGCATCTTTGGAATATAAATTCCAAGGACATTGACCTGTAATTAAAATAAAATACGATACACCAAGAGCCCAAATGTCAGCTGCAAATCCATCAAATGGTTCTTGTCTAATGATCTCTGGAGATTCATATATGAATGTTCCGCTAAAATTTGTATTATTTTCATCGCGATTGAGCTTTTGGGAAAACCCGAAGTCACAAATTTTAACTCTTCCATATTTATCTATAAGGAAGTTTGATGGCTTTACATCTCCATGACGAATACCAAATTCATGGCAGCTTTGTAAGGATTGAGCCATTCCAATTGCATATCGATATAATTCTTCGTTTGTGAGGACCCATCTTTCAAGAAATATTTTATCAATTGAGCTTGGACAATATTCCATTAATAAATATACAAAATCTTTATTCCTCAGATACTTATACAATGGAACAATGTTGCTAGATCTAATTTCTATCATGCACGCAATTTCGTTATCATTGAATTTATTTGCGGGAATTTTTTTAACTGCAAAATTTTGTTTGTAGTATTCAGAATAGACCTTATAAACAGTCCCATAGCCGCCTTTTGCAATTGTTTCATTGAATATTAATCCGAAGCTCTCGAATACCACCCCTAAATCATCCATGATTTTAAAATCAAATAAAGCAAAGAAAATATTTGAAAACATTTAATTTTTTGTTGAATAAAAAATATCGTAAATATAAATAGATATTGAGATTGACAATCCAATAAATTAATCAATTGAATTCTATAGAAAATAATTTTTCAATAATTGATATATATTCAGAAAAAAAGTTGTTATGAAGATAAATGATTCCATAATTTACTAATATGCAATGATTGCTAAATGTAAATATTAATTATTAAATGTAAATATTAATTATTAAATGTAAATATTCATTGAAAAATAAATATTAAATCATGTTTATATCATGAAACGCAGATACCAGCATAACTTTGAATATATAAAAGAATTGAAATAAACGTGCTAGAAAATAAAACATAATATAAAAATGAATTTAGTATAATCAAATTTCATTAAATCAATTTATGTTCTGAAAAGTATTTAATATTATACATTGTTTAATTATAGACAACATTACATGCTAAAGCCATTATTCCTTTACAATAGAGCAATTGAAAAGTAATACTTTCATTTCAAAAATTTTACATCCACATTGAAATCTATTACCCAGATTTGCTTTACTTTTACCACTCCCCATGTAATTTCTGGGGAAAACGATAATTCATTTTTTTTATGGATGAATAGATCGTTTTCCTAGAAAGGACCTCATATCTCTGGCTAAAAAGAGTGTCAGATCCTAAATAGATTATTGATCTAGTGTACAAATCCAATAAAAAGCCTATTTTTTTGGCTTTTTTGGTGCTCATTTTTTCGAAGATCTACATGAATATGGGGAAACCATCGGATTTTTTTGGTTAACCCACATCTTCATGTAGTCTGGACTATCTTTCCTCGAAGGACCTCTTTACGGGTGTAAAAACTCATAAAGTTCTCAAAAGATTCATTCTCTATCTCCATGCTGAAAGAATTTACAATAAAAAAGAGATCTACGCATCAAACTACAGCCATAAATGAACTGAACCCCTAAAGCTCAGCTCTTAGTTTATCAAAAACGTCGAAATCCTTCTCATTGCAATCAAATTTTCTCAATAACTCATAAGAAAAATCGAATTTTGATTAAGCCGATGTTATAGGTATCACAAATACTACAAACTTGAGCAATATCGAAATTGCCAGCAAAAGTTTGAAATTGCATTGCTCATATTTGTTTTGTAAACTAAAAATCTGCTTATATTATTCATTAATTTTTTATATATTATTCATATACTTTAATAAAAACAATACTATTTCACCTTAAAAATGAATTTCATAAGTCAATATTATTTTTTTGAAAATGTATCAATTTTCGATTAAAACAACATGAGAATAAAATTTACGCAAAATTATTTTAAAAAATGGTTTTAAAAATTTACAATTGATTAAGAATAAGATTGGAAGAAGTTTTGAAGTTTAATTTTAAGAAAAAAAATTCGGATATTATTCATGGATCTAAGTAATCTGATATTTGAGTATCGGCACTATGCATAAAACATATATTTATAGTTTTTTTGGATTTTTATGATTTTAAATATATTCAAATTTGGCAATCCAATAGATTTTTAAAAAATAGGTAAATAAAAATAGATTACATATGCAGCAGATTTAGAACATGAAACAAATCTTATAGTGACCCAAAAAAAAATTCATGATCCAAAAAAGAAAAAAAATGGCTAAATCAGAATCAAACCTTAGCATAACGAATCATTATGTCAGATGTTTCCACTACACTACACCAGCAGTTCGAAAAATACCCTTGGTGGTTCTATTTAATAGCTACTCCCAACGATAGGCGGTGTCCCCAGCTTTAGAGAGGTGGTAAAAGTAAAGCAAATCTGGGTATTTTTATTATTCCACATATCCATATTTTTATATGTATAATAATATTTTTGCTTTGTTAGATCTTGGTCAAAAAAACGATAACTTTAGGAATTTTACGCAAATTCGATAATTTTTTTCTTGGATTATCTATCTAAAATTAAACTTCACAAGCATTTTCTCCAAAATTCGGGAATTAACAATTAAGGGTTTCGTTTTGCTAAAATTGTCACTTTTATAGCAAATTTGTTTTTGGATGTTTTGCGAAACCAAAAAAAAACTATGATATACAATGTGTGTGTAAAGAAAATACTTTATTTACTAGTTAAAAAATCATTTGGTATTGATCAAGTTATTTTTTCTGGATAAGATATTATATGGATAATTGGATAGAAAATACAATTATATAATCTTGTACCTGGTTTAATTAAGCTAATTGTCATCAGAAACTTGTAATTTTTATGAATTTCAGATTTTCTTTTCATTACTGCTTTTCTTAATAGGTCAAGTTCTTATTTACGTTATAAAGTATGATATTTACAAATATCAAGTTATCATGTTTTTTGAGAAATTATGAGAAACAAACAAAAATGAAAAAGATAGGAATAGCAATGAATAGTGATGTGGGTATAGAAAATGTAAGAGATATGAATGCAAAGCAATCAGTATTTAGGATATTGACCATAGATTTCGAAAAAAAATGCTGCATATTGAGCGAAAACTATGATTATATTATAAGGCTGTCATTTAAAGCATAATGAAACTATTCCCTTTTCATTTTAATCGAATAAGATAGTAAAGATTTTTGAATTAGCTAGAAACTGATGAGATGTTTTCACAAACCAGATTTTTAATCTCTATAATGCATAATTCACTCAATATCTCAATTTTGATATTGCGAGATATTTTTGCTATCGGTTTAGCAATTTTGACACAATAGCAAGAGGGTTCTATAAGCATTATTATCAACGTAGAATCTGAATATCATATCAGAAAATGTCGCAAATCTGACATTTACCCGACCAAATAGCAAAAATAATTGAATACTTTTCGCAAAAACTTTAAAAATCGATAAAAATATGAAATATAGATATTAAAGAGACTTTTTATATAATATTCATAAAGATTTTCCAAAAATATGAGACCGCAAAATTAAAAAAGTGACGTCTTGAGTGGAGTCAAAGGTCGAAATTGCTAGCTAAATGTTTTTTAGCGAAATTGCGTATTGTACGTTTTTTTCGCAAAACGAAACCCTTATTAACAATTGCTTTCGATAAATTTTCGAATTGGTGTGTTTCATAAACATGATGTAATTCAAAACATATAATTTTACAATATATCAGACAGTATTCTTATATTTTTTTTAAAATACAATTGTTTTTCAATTTACTTATAGGAAATCAATCTCAAGAAGCTTTACTCTTCAACATTAAATAAATTTTCGTTTAAGGGACTTCAATAATATCTAAACAGATTCAATTATGAGAGAATAAGATCTGTAAAGCACATTTAAATCATATATTTTAGTTATTTATATAGTAACAACTTTAATTATAGAATATATAATTTGATAGATTTTAACGATCATATTGCACTTTTTAAACAAAACATCGATGTTGGCTCTTTCTATTTTGTTCATCAGAAGAACATATTATAGAACACATTATAGAACCTATAACAACATTCAGCCCATTACAGTGTTAGAATACCCCGATCAGGCATCAAAGATTATTTGGAGTGTCACGCCAAACAATATTTCAATTTCTTCATCACAAATCAAAAATCTCATTAAAACAAACAAAATATCTGCTGATTTAGCATTTCGCTTGATCGACATTGCTTCCCAAATTCGTGTCAAAGATATCAAGTTATTCACAGATTTTTATCAACAATTATCGAATGAATTCTCATACACACCCAGTCCAAAATGCCTGAGATTAGCTACATTACTATACTATAGAGGTTACCATTTTCCTAATTTCTCTCCTTCAATGAAAGAAGAAGAAGTTCTCAACATTTATTCAATAGATTCACCTTTATACTATATTGCATGGGACAAAGTTGATGATCTCAAGAGCAAATTCCCAGATCTAGATATAAACAAGAAAATTGACAACTTGAGTCCACTAGACTGCGCAATTCAATATGGATCAGAACGTTGCTTCAATTACCTATATTATAAAGGTGCTTACTATTCCAGTGATTCTCAAAAATATGCCGTCCAAGGGGGAAACAACAACATCTTTATTCAAATGATTCAAGATGGTAAGAGATTTGATAATCTTATCAACATTGCATTAGACTATCACAATTTTTACATAGCAACCTATCTTAAATTACATTTCGGACAAGTTCCTGATTCAATCGCAGACTGCTTCTATTATGGAAACTTTGATGTTGCTTCAACTTTACTTTCGAAGGGAGTAGATGTCGACGATCGTCATATTTTCTTTCATCTCAAGTCTATCATTGTTTAATGTAATTTTCTTTCATTTTATGTTTATTTTTGCTTCATGAAATCCTCAATCTAATTATATTTATCATTATTATACAAGAGCATTCATCATTATTACATTGGATTCACTTTGATTTCAAATTGATCATTATTACATTGGATTCACATTAATTTCAAATTGATCATTATTACATTATATTCATTATCACTTCAAATTAATCATTATTATATCAGATTCACTTTGATTTCAAATTTTTCATTGTTTTAGAAAATTCCCATTCTCTTCATATTTTTCTTCATTTTATGAAATTCTTTATAGATTAATACAACTCCACTAATTTACGCAATCCAAACGAATTCAATTGATATCGTCAAGTCTTTAGTTCAATATGGTGCAAATATCAGCTTAGTAACCCTTCTCTTTCTTTTCATATTTATTATTGTTTAAGCGGATTCTCTTTTCTTTCATATTTATCACTATTTCATTGGATTCTTTATCTTTTTATGTTTTTCATTGCATTTTGATATTTTCTTTTGTTTCACATTTTATATTGTTTTATGGAATTAATCTTCAACTCATGTTTATCATTATTTTAGATAATTCTATTTCTTTTAATATTTATCATTAATTTATGACATTCTCATTCTTTTCTTATTTATAATGATTTTATTATATCCACTTTCTTTTCACATCTATCATTATTTCAGACAATTATATTTCTTTTAATATTTATCAATGTTTTATGACATCCTCTTTCTTTTCACATTTATCATTACTTTATGGAATTCTCTTTCTTTTCACATCTATCATTATTTTAGACAATTATATTTCTTTTAATATTTATCAATGTTTTATGACAATCTCTTTCTTTTCATATCAATCATTGTTTTACGACATTCTATTACTAATCATATTTATCTTTGTTTTATGGCAATCTCTTTCTTTTCATATCTATTGGTTGAAAGTTACAAGCTCTCAATTTTCGTCCCTTTTGTACGTTTATTATAATTGTAGCATATTGTCATCAAGCACGCGACTAACCAGCAAAGACGTGTCCTCTAATTCCGTCCCTAGTTCAAGAATCTGGAACTATTTAAGCAAAAACATTCGATTTCAAAATCAAGCATTCTTTATTCAACGAGTAAAACATTAAAGTATGATTTGTCATACACGGAATAATGACAAGCTCTTAGAGTATGTTTAGTACAGAGTTACTGCCAACTTGAGTTCTTGAATTTGGTAAGTTAGAACAAAAGAAGCCATATGTCGCATCTAAGGACTTGTACTTATCAGAGTATTACTAAATGTTTAAGAATGTTAGTTATTCGTCCCAAACTCGTACGTTTCCACGCGAATCTTGATAATAAATATACTATTTTGGACTTTTTGCAATAAATCTTTTTTTACCACATTAGCATATCTGTGTGTATGCTACTTAACCTCTTTAGAGACCATTAAGATAATGTTTTTTGATACTTTTTCAAGACTATGCCATAAAGTAAACGAATAATTTACAAAATGATATTAAAAAATTTAATTTTATTATGCTTTTATAAATATTGAGACTTTTTAGGACTATTTTAAAAATGTAAATAGATCAATCATTTTAATATTAGATAAGATAATCTAAAGACGTCAGATGTTTCAATAACTTCAGATCAATGACTAATATGAAATTTAAGATTTGTGTTAATTTAAGAATTAACAATGGAATCTGGTTTAGAAAGATGGAAAGCATAGAGAATCTAAAGGATAAGAGAGATTAAATACAAAATGCTGCATAAAAAGGCAGATCAGTGAGAAGAAATCATGAGGTTAAAAAGGAACATTCAAATTAGAATATAACATTGCATATTACAATATTAATATTAAAGATAATACTGCACATCATTGTGCAGTGATCCATAAATCAATATTAATATCTCATATGATAAAATCTAATATCATATTACAATATTAATATTAAAGATAATACTGCACATCATTGTGCAATTACACTATTTTAAATATTTTCATAAATAATGACTTACAAGTTAAAAAAATGTAGAATTAACTGCATGATCCAATATTGGACCGAATGTATGTTTGAATCTATAACTGAATTCATTAATGACAAAAAAGTGACTCTATAACTGAGTATCTGGCTGACAATATGCCTGAAAGTTTGAATGTGTCTAGGAATATAACTGACAGTTTGAGTGACATTTTGAATGAGGGTTTGGTTGTCAGTATAACTCAAGGTTTGAGAGAGAATATGACTCACAGTTTGACTGACAATATGACTTAGAGTTTGAGTGACAGTATGAACAACTGATTTGGTGATAGTATGAACTACAGTTGACTGAGAATATGACTCGGTTTGACAGACACTGATTACGGTTTTAGTTAGAATAAGACTGATTGGTGACAATATGACTGACGGTTTGACTCAATATGACTTGGTTTTATTTGATATGATTGAGAGTTTGGGTGACAATATGACTCATAGTTTAAGAGAGTGTATGACTGATGGTTTTAGTGAGAATAAGACTGATAGTTTGAGTGACAATATGACTGTTGATTTGAGTGAGTGAATGACTGACAGTTTGACTGACAATATGACTGACGGTTTTAGTGAGAATAAGACTGATAGTTTGGGTGACAATATGACTCATAGTTTAAGAGAGTGTATGACTGATGGTTTTAGTGAGAATAAGACTGACAGTTTGAGTGACAATATGACTGTTGATTTGAGTGAGTGTATGACTGACAATTTGAGTGACAATATGACTGACGGTTTGACAGACACTATGAATTAGCTTTTTAGTTAGAATAAGACTGACAGTTTGAGTGACAATATGACTGACGGTTTGACAGCCTCTATGACTTAAGGTTTTATTTAGAATATGACTGAGAGTGTGGGTGACAATATGACTGTTGATTTGAGTGAGTGTATGACTGACAATTTGAGTGACAATATGACTTCGGTTTGACAGACACTATGAATTAGCTTTTTAGTTAGAATAAGACTGACAGTTTGAGTGACAATATGACTGACGGTTTGACAGACACTATGAATTAGCTTTTTAGTTAGAATAAGACTGACAGTTTGAGTGACAATATGACTGACGGTTTGACAGCCTCTATGACTTAAGGTTTTATTTAGAATATGACTGAGAGTGTGGGTGACAATATGACTGTTGATTTGAGTGAGTGTATGACTGACAATTTGAGTGACAATATGACTTCGGTTTGACAGACACTATGAATTAGCTTTTTAGTTAGAATAAGACTGACAGTTTGAGTGACAATATGACTGACGGTTTGACAGACACTATGAATTAGCTTTTTAGTTAGGATAAGACTGATAGTTTGAGTGACAATATGACTGACGGTTTGACAGCCTCTATGACTTACGGTTTTAGTTAGAATAAGACTGACAGTTTGAGTGACAATATGACTGACAGTTTGACTGACAATATGACTGTTGATTTGAGTGAGTGTATGATTGAGAGTTTGAGTGACAATATGACTGACGGTTTGACAGACACTATGAATTAGCTTTTTAAAGATATAAAAATTGGATATTGATTCATGATCTAAGTAACTTCGATATTGAGTAATTCGGCATATGCGATAAAAACATATATTTATAGTTTTTTTTGGATTTTATGATTTTAAATATATTCAAATTTGGCAATCCAATAGATTTTTAAAAAATAGGTAAATAAAAATAGATTACATATGCAGCAGATTTAGAACATGAAACAAATCTTATAGTGACCAAAAAAAATTCATGATCCAAAAAAGAAAAAAATGGCTAAATCAGAATCAAACCTTAGCATTAAGAATCATTATGTCAGATGTTTCCACTACACTACACCAGAGTTCGAAAAATACCCTTGGTGGTTCTATTTATAGCTACTCCCAACGATAGGCGGTGTCCCCAGCTTTAGAGAGGTGTAAAAGTAAAGCAAATCGGGTATTTTTATTATTCCACATATCCATATTTTTAATATGTATAATAATATTTTTTGCTTTGTTAGAATCTTGGTCAAAAAAACGATAACTTTAGGAATTTTAACGCAAATTCGATAATTTTTTCTTGGGATTAATCTATCTAAAATTAAACTTCAACAAGCATTTTCTCCAAAATTCGGGAATTAACAATTAAGGGTTTCGTTTTGCTAAAAATTGTCACTTTTATAGCAAATTTGTTTTTTGGATGTTTTGCGAAACCAAAAAAAAACTATGATATATCAATGTGTGTGTAAAGAAAATACTTTATTTACTAGTTAAAAAATCATTTGTTATTGATCAAGTTATTTTTTCTGGATAAGATATTATATGGATAATTGGATAGAAAATACAATTATTAATCTTGTACCTGGTTTAATTAAGCTAATTGTCATCAGAAACTTGTAATTTTTATGAATTTCAGATTTTCTTTTCATTACTGCTTTTCTTAATAGGTCAAGTTCTTATTTACGTTATAAAGTATGATATTTACAAATATCAAGTTATCATGTTTTTTGAGAAATTATGAGAAACAACAACAAAAATGAAAAAAGATAGGAATAGCAATGAATAGTGAGTGGGTATAGAAAATGTAAGAGATATGAATGCAAAGCAATCAGTATTTAGGATATTGACCATAGATTTCGAAAAAAAATGCTGCATATTGAGCGAAAACTATGATTATATTATAAGGCTGTCATTTAAAGCATAATGAAACTATTCCCTTTTCATTTTAATCGAATAAGATAGTAAAGATTTTTGAATTAGCTGAAACTGATGAGATGTTTTTAAACAAACCATTTTTTAATCTCTATAATGCATAATTCACTCAATATCTCAATTTTGATATGCGAGATATTTTTTGCTATCGGTTTTAGCAATTTTGACTACAAATAGCAAAGAGGTTTATAAGCATTATTATCAACGTAGAATCTGAATATCATATCAGAAAATGTCGCAAATCTGACATTTACCCGACCAAAATAGCAAAAATAATTGAAATACTTTCGCAAAAACTTTAAAAA